ACGGATTCGGCTTAGTTAGAATGTTATTATATATATGGATTTAACTCGACAAATGGATGGAGTTGATTTTCTGGCAGAAAGAGATAGTTCATAGCCGGAGCATACATACAACTATATATTGGCTACATTTTATCCAAAAGAGGTGTATCAAATGGTTTCTGGTTTCAAAATTTAGATACATGACCAAAATTAACCCTTTAAAATGAGTTTTTGAGTGTTAACATTTGGGGAATGTGATTAGTAGAAGGATGCATGCACGTTTCTTACTTAGTGAATTGAACTAACACGGTTTATTTCGGTATCAAAACCGATATCCAACCATTCTCTAAGAAGAACCATTGAACAATATTATTTCGGCTAACTGTTCGTTTTCATTAACCGATCAAATAGCGAGCGATGAATTAACCATTACATACATTACCGAAATAAACAGTTTTTTTAAACCGGTTCCGAACCCGTCTGAAAAGAATACAAGAAAAAGTACCTACAAAGGAGCATCATTTATTCGTTTAGTTTTATTCATAAAAAAATTATAGCTTTAGAAAATTCAGACAGACAAAAATTATTGTAGGTAGGTAAGTACGTGATTATTCATCATCAAATATTTTATAACATTGTGCCATAGTTACATAATGCTATGCAACACTGCCATATATATATAAACCGCACAAATAATATAGTTCCATTCAGTGCTTTGTAAATGTTCTCACTGGCGTTTTTATTTGACTGTTTGAGTTTACATATTTTTATATTCAGAACGTGTGCCATGAGTATCTCCGTAAATTTACAAAAAAAGATTTCTACAAAACAATGGCAGGTAAGGATATCCAACCAACAACTTTCATCAATATGACATCAAAAGAAAATCAGCCCGATTTTATTGCAAGTAGAAGACTGGGGGAGCGACCAGATTTAAGAATCATATCTCGGAAAATCGAATCTAAGAGATTTGTCTCGAGATGTCGATCAAGAGGTAAATCTCGAGGTCGATCAAGAGGCAGATCTCGAGGTCGATTCAAGAGGCAGAATCTCTTAGAAGGCTCGATCAAGAGGTAGATCTCCGAGGTCGATTCAAGAGATAGATCTCGAGCGTCGATTCAAGAGGTAGATCTCGAGGTCGATCAAGAGATAGATCTCGAGGTCGATCAAGAGGCAGATCTCGAGGTTCGATCCAGAGATAGAATCTCGAAGAAGCCTAATCAAAAAGTACATTCCGTAAGGTCGATCAGGAGGTAGATCTCGAGATCAGTCAAGAGGTAATCACCAGGTGGTTCCAGAACGGATCCCGAAGTCAACATGATTACAAATTACTTTAAAGAACATTCAAAAACTACGTTCTGTGTCAGAGAGAAAGATATCAAGCATTTCAAATTGTTACTCTGAACACGAATTCCCGTCCAACATGAAGAAATTATAATGACCATTCCTATGAATAGTACGAGTTTATACACTTACAAAAGAAGTTACTTTCCATATGAAGAAAATATAGAAAAATAAATTATTTTCCGTAAATCGATTGCGGGAAATAAAAAAAAAACTAATAACAAACGATTGTAGAGAGTAGAAAGTTAATATTTTTATTGTACATTGCATAAGTCATAACTCTTATTGTTTGTAATTAAAGTTATCGGTCCGCCTGTAATGCCTAAATGAGGCGTGACATTGGTAAAAAAAAAAGTTTTAAAACAAGTTTTAGCAAGTACGGATGTATCCCATTATTTTTAGATATAAGTAACTATTCATGTAGGTAATAAATTACTTTAAAAGTATATACGGTGAATTTTGCGTGTAAAATGTTTTTAATAATTTCAGGGCTACTTATTACTCATCATGTACATTCCATTAACGAAGCCAAAACCTCTTCGCCGATTTATACATGAGATAAAAATAAAAAGATTTTGAAAAGCACTATAGAAAATTAAGTGTTCGAAGCCATAGGTTTTTAAAATCTTACGAGGCGATGGCTGCAGACAGTAGAGATGCCGTACCCGGGATACTGTTAGGGCGCCCGGCGGCGTCCCGTGTGCTTGCCAGTGTTATGCAACTGTGGAGAAATTGAATGAGAAATATGGAAAAAAATAAAAAAGCTGAAGCAATAAAAACTTTTTTTTTTCTGTACTTAATATTAATTGTGGTAAAAAAAACAGCAAATGAAATAAAAAATGTATTTTAATAAGTTAAATATTATGTAATACTGTTTTATTATTAAGTAAATATTAAAATTATAAAAAAATTAACTAAAACAAAAATTAGGATTAAAAAAAATTATTTATTAAGTTAAATATGTAATACTTTTTTATTATTAAGTAAATATTAAATGTAAAAAAAAAATTATTATTATTTCCAATTTATTTACATTCCTTTAAGACTATCCTATAGGCTACCAGATTGTAATTAATATACGATGCAATTTCTTAATCTATGCAAAAGTTAAGAAATCTATACATTTAGTCAAAACGTTTATATCGATATAACTGTATGACACACAAAGCACTATAAAACCTAGAATACAGTATTTAAAAGTAATCTATAAGTATAAAACCAAGCTATTATATCTATACTTGCAATGGACGTTGTTAAGAGACTACATATTTAATCAAGATTAAAAGATAAACATGTTAAAAATTGTGATAAATAAATTATTTACTCAAAAACTATATAACTCATTATAATATAATATTAATTAACATAATACATAATATCGTCGACCTATTATAATTCGTTAACCTGCTAATGGATCGAGATCCCACTGCAAGATTGCTACGTTTATAGAGTATTTAATCGAAATCATTTTTTTATATACAATAATAAAAGGGACAATATGTTTTGACCGAGGTGCCTATTCAAATGTGCCCGCTAGTATGTTTTAAATTAACTAAATAATAGTTGACTTTTTGGAACAAAAACGATGAATTTGTCATCATCTTGAAAAATGATAGCTGCCGTTGCATATGTGACCGCAACCTCTTCGCAGCCAGGTATAAGCGGGTCATATTTTGGGACGTTTATACGTTCATGGCGTATATTTATCATTTATATATCAAATTAAAGCTAATTTTTTTTCTGTACCTGATAAACTACATCTGCCTATGTAAAAGTGGCCGTAAAAGTGGTTGCGAGTCATTATAGATTTTTTTGTTACATTTATACGTTAATGGCGTATATTCATCATTTATATATCAAATTAAAGCTAATTTTGTCAAATTTTAATAGGCACCTCGGTCAAAACATATTATCCCTTTTATTATTGTATATAAAAAAAATGATTTCGATTAAATACGCTATAAATGTAGCAATCTTGCAGCGGGATCTTAGTCCATAAGTGTATTTCTGCATAGTTTACAGGACGAAGAAAAAACTAAATTATATCATTTCATTTTCAACCCCCGACGCAAAAACGACGGGGTGTTATAAGTTTGACGGATGTCTGTGTGTGTCTGTCCCTGGCATCGTAACACCCGAACGGATGAACCGATGAACCATTATTATTAAGAGGGGGGCCCTGGGCTCCGGCCCTGCGCGCTAGTGCGGCGTGACGTCGTGCATGGCATAGCGCCACGTCCAGCGCCTCGCCAGCGCCTCGAAGCGCGCGCGCTCGCGCACGTACATGTCGCCCAGCTGCGGCTCCATGCACACCTGCGGGACCATACACTACACGTTACTGAATCGACTATCTAGTGGCGTATACGGCTGCACATCCGGAGGTTCTGGGTTCGAGTCCCGGTAAGTTATTGTTAGTGTAATTAACTCTTATTGGATAGTGAAGAATAATTATTATTATAGTTCATAGCGACCTCGCTTTTCGCAAATTTTCATTATTAATTGAAATAAAGCCAAAATACCGAAGCAAGTTTTTAATAAAAGGCGCGATGGCACTTTTTCAAGCTTTTGCATTGAAATACTATATTAAGCAAAGACTGTGTAATAATATCTCGTATACAGCGGTTGAGTTTATAGCGGTCACGAAATTTGAAAATATTTATAGGATTTCTACAAAAAAAAACCTTTTTTAAAATCTTAAAAACTATTAAAAACGTTCAGAATTAGCTGTAAATATATCCTTACAACATTAATATTATTAGGTAAAATTTAAATCAGAATATACGTCAGTTCAAAGGAAATATAATTAGAGACTTTTTAAACAATTTATTATAAAACTTTACATAAAAGTAATTGTAACTGCACAAAATGCGATGCGTCGGCCGCTTGAACTCAGTACATTTTGTGACAGACCTCTTTAAGTCCGTACGATGGTATTACATAACTAAACATCAAGCATCAGTATATATAAGTAGGTGCACTGACCGTGGTGTAGGGGTCGGTGAGCAGGCTCTGTATGGAGATGAGCACCTTGGAGAGCGTGAGCGCCAGCGACCAGTTGTGGTGCACGGAGTCGATGCCGACGTCGCCGTGGCGCGACACGTTGGGGTGCAGGATGCGCGTCAGGAACCGCACCACCGGCGGGCTCATCGGGTAGCTGTACAGCGATAGCTATGTACATCTGTACAGCTTCGTTCTGAACACTTGTCTTGAAACACTATTTTGTATTCTTTGATTTATTCAATCTATTTTTTTACTATTTTCATTATGCCTACTGTAATAGTTTTCTCTATGGTAAATTCTTCCATTTCACAATTTGACCGATTTCACTTCGATAGATTGTAATTTACCGAAAAATAATGCGTTAAATTGTAAGCATATTACGATTCACTATCTTTCGACAGTTTACAATCTCTCTAGATAGATAATAATCTAACGGTATTTTCAATTTTACGGTGATATATATAAATCTTAGAGGTAAAGCTTTATTTTTAAAATAGTGTACAACGAGTATGATTGGTAGTTTGAACAAGCAAGCACTAAGGCGACGTATTACTAAAAGTACGCCATGCCATTTTGTCGTTCGGACAAATAAGACGTACTTGCGTTTCGTATCAAAGCTAACGCGCATCGATACTGCACTGAAACTGCACGAACAACTGACAATAACAGAGAATACAGACTATATAAAGTAACGTGTATGAAAGAGAAACAACACTTCCGTGTAGAGCACCTATATTCGACAAAGCCAGAAAACAAGACACAAAGATACATTACGTGTACGACTCTTAGTTCGATATTTAAACACGTGTATAAAGGGGTTTATACTCACGAGTAGGGCACCTGTATGTAGAGGTAGAAGACGCCGCCCTCGTAGGGCGAGCCGGCGGGCCCCGTGACGCTGGCCTGCCAGTGGCAGCAGCGCGCGTCCAGCGGCGTGGCCGCGATGCCCTCCGGCGGGTCGTTGCGGAGCATCTGCGACCAACCAAGCAAATATTCAATAATAATTACTTTATAATTAAACATTTTTTTATTAAAGTACTATTATTATTAATATAATTACTTTATAATACAGACATTACATATTAAACGACATAGGCAAAGATATTTTTTTTTTTCAGGTCAACCCATGGACGTGAAGAAATAGTGTTAAGTAGTGGGTCAATTAAGTGCTACAAGATGTATAAAAGACAAAAAAAACCTACTCTATATATCTACTGTTATTTACCTAACAAAGGTAAGATTGATGTAAATAATTTTATAATATATACAGAATAAAGAAAACTACAAAAATACTTATTATAATAAATTAATAATATTATATTGAATAATATATAAGCTGTTAGTCCCCCGTCCCCATGAAACGCACTTTGTGTCCCAACCATGAACTCCCAAGTACGTTTGGAACACAATATAAATGTACCACTACATATTACAAAATACACTGTATGTATGCCAGCGGTCGCGGGTTCGAGTCCCGCTGAGGGCATTCATTTGTGTGATGACGAATGTTTGTACTCCAGTCATGGGTGTTTATATTTATAATATGTATGTATTTAAAGTTATATATATATGTAGTGTATCAACTATCTGGTATCCGTAACACAAGCCTCGTAGCTTACCATGGAACTGGATGGTGCTGTGTGTTAATGTCCCAACGTATTTATTTATTTATTTAACACACACCTTAAGCTCTATCTTGAGACGGTTGCGTCGCCACGCGTTTTCGTCGCCGGCGGGCTGCGCCTGCACGCACATCTGCACGAGGCAGTTGCGACAGAAACATGACTCCACTAGAGACTGGTACTTCTGGAAAAACATTAAAGACGTTAACAAACAACAACACAACAATGTATTGTAAACAATTTCAGAGCCAGAAATAAAAAAAAACCTTATTGAATGAAGTGCAAATCTTAAAATGTTACCCGTTTGTGGTTATGAGTTTAAATAAATGTTTAATTTATGAAGGTGTAATTTTTTGCACTGGGTCATAGTTTATCTCATCTATGTTTTAATTTCATTTAAATCTCACCAGCCATTTCAGTGTGAAGGAATAACAAAACACACAGATATAAACTATCGCATACATATACAATAGTGGTAAGATGCCCTTTCTAGAGATCCCTCTTCCTGTTGATTAAAATCGGATGATAATCCATACAGTAGTTACTAAGGTTAGCCTGACCAAAGACAAAGTTATCGCAGCAGACTCATCCGGACTGATATTATAAAAAGAATAAAAAAATATTTTTGTTTCTAATGTATAAACTAAAAATCCACTGAACCTATTTAGATGAAAATTGGTTCATACCAAGATAAAAAGAAAGTTTGAGACCCTGGAAAGGACATAGGAGAATTTTTATTCTGGAAATCATCCCTTAGGGGTTGCAAAGAGGGATGACAATTTGTATGGGGAATTAATGATTTCTCAAATAAGGAATATAAAACTCATCATACTGATATTTATATATTATATGCTAGTGACTCGTCCTCGCTGCGCTCGGGATCATCCCTTGGTAAATAATAACTTTTTTTTTAATTTCAATAAGATTTTTCTAAAAATGTTTAATTTACAGATTCAACTCAGAATTTTATTATATGTAAAGACTAATATATATATTATCTTAAAAATTTATCTATTTCATACTAACTGTCAAATTTTACCTAAGGATGAACACCAGCGGAGCGAGGATGAGTCACTAGTTTATAATATATAGTGATAATGATCTCTTACCTTATGCCAATCAATGTTAGCGAGTAGCGGTCTGAACAGCGGCCAGCGGCGTGCAGCGAAGGCAGCCCAGCGCGGCGGAGGCACGCGCGCCACCACCAGGCGGCGCCAGCGCTCGCACACGCAAGCGCATGCGCATAGAGACAGGTCGTCTAGGTAGCGGAATATGCAGAGTAGCACTGGAATATTTTTTATATTTCTTACTTGTTACTTATATATAGGACTAGCGGCTCACCCTCGCTTCGCTCGGGTTCACCTCTAGAAAAGCACAAACAGATCTATCCCACGGGAACCGTTCATTTTTCCGGGATAAAAATAAAATAAGTAACCTGTTGTTTGAGCTGCAATATAAGGTATCAGCATGCCAAATTTTACTAAATTAGGTGCATAAGTTGTTGTGTACTGAGCTGTATAAATTACTATAATTTTTTAACTATCCCACGGGAACTCTTTAATTTTCCGGAATGAAAAGTATCAAATTTCATTTAAATAGGTTCAATAGTATCGGAGATTAGCCCGTACGAACAGACAAACAGACAGTAAACAAAAAAAATTGAAAAAATCTGGATTTGTTCTATTTCTCTCCTTACGGGATGTAAGAAGAGAACTGACTCGTTTTTTAGCAATTTTTTCTACCATCTATGTACAGACATTCGACCTCTACAGTTTTATTATTCATATATGTACCTATATTCAGATAGAATAAATAACGTATAATAAAACAGAAATATATAATAATGAAAATAGTTATAGCGAGTGTACCTTAGGAGAGATATACATATACTTTTTTAAGACTTACAATTTTCTTGTACAATGTTTTGATCTATCTCTTAAGGTTGAGCCAACGTTAGCCAATAAATTTCTAAGGACAATTCGATAGAACCAGTTATTGTATTTTCCCGTGGGAATGAATAATTTGCCTGTCGTAAAAAGTATTCTAAATGTTGACCCGAGCACTAAGTTTTATCACTATACAAAATTAAGTTAAAATCGGTTGAGTACTTTTTGCGTGAAACGCGCACATCGATTTGACTAAGTTTTATTATAGGTATAGATAAGAATAAATATTGCGAGTGTAACTTAGAAGATAGACATATACTATTCACAACTTTTCTGTAGGACTTTTCAAGACCTACAATCTTTTAGTATATTGTTTTGATGTATGTCTTAAGGCTTAGTTAGAGGAAGGTTTCTAGGGAGGACTCGATAAAACCAATTATTTTATTTTCCGTGGGAAAGAAAGATTTTCTTTAAGTAAAAGGTATCTAGGCAGTGGTATCCCAGTGGTAACGCGCTCGCTTGGGAAACCGAGTGATATTTTCATATGCTAATCTTTTCTAAACATTTGACATAACCTAGCAAGTTTTCGAAAGACATGTGAAGTCCACCAACCCGCACTTAGCCAGCATGGTGGACTATGGCCTGATCCACCTCGTACTGAAGGGAGGCCCGTGCATGTGTTAAAAAGGGCTGAATACAACATACATACATACAAAAGGTACCCTAAATGTTGAGTCGAGGAATAAGTTATCACTTCACCAAATTTCGTTGAAATTGGTACATTACTTTTCGCGTGAAACGCACACACAAAAACAGACAAACAGGCATACAGGCAAACAGACAAATAGGCAATTTTTTTAATAACTATTGTTTTGGGGTCTATGTTGTGTACATAATACGTTACAAATAAACAAAAACATCTATCCCACGGGAAAAGTACATTTTTCCGGGATACACAGTTACCTATTTGTTATTCTGATGTATGAACTATATTATTGTAAGGTTTCATCAAAATCCAATCAGTGGTTTTTGTGTACTAAGCTGTATAAGTTACTATAGTTTTTTGACTATCCCACGGAAACTCTTTAATTTTCCGGGATGAAAATTAGCTGATTTGTTTTTGTCATGTATGAACTATATTATTGTAAAGTTTCATTAAAATCCAATTAGTAGTTTTTGTGTACTAAGCTGTATAAGTTGTTATAGTTTTTTAACTATCCCACGGGAACTCTTTAATTTTCCGGGATGAAAAGTATCTAAGATGTTGCCCGGCGGATATAAGGTACCACCATGCAAAATTTCATTTAAATAGGTCCGATAGATCCGGAGATTAGCCCGTACAAAGAGAAAAACAGATAAACAGCTCGCTCGGGTTCGTCCATACATACGAATATGTTGTATTATCTCTTTAACCATTTGTCCAAATTATATGCAGTAAAAGGAAAAAGTCTTTTATTTTAAACATTTTAGACGATAAATTTACTTATTTTGATAAGAATTCATAATTGTTGATAATATGACCAATAAACATGACCTACCTATTTAAATGATTTTTTTAATATAAAAAACTACTTTTTGTGACTTAAATATAAAAGTTAGACATATGCTGTCGCTGACTTTTTTGTAGGCATTATTAAGCTCTACAACTTTTCTCTAGATCATAATCATATATCTCTCATCGTTAAGGCAGCGTTCGTAAGAAACGTTTTCGTTCGACCGTTTTTTCTCCGACTTACTTTGCAAATCCGACTACCACGAAAAAGCCTTTTCATGTTTCATGTTAATATATAGCCTATGACACTCAGAAAGAACGTGGCTTTCTATTGGTAAAAGAATTTTGAAAATCGGTTCAGTAGATCCAGAGATTACCCCCTACAAGCTTACAAACTCACAAACCCACAAACTCACAAACTCACAAGATCACAAACTTTACCTCTTTATAATATTAGTATAGACTAGCATTGCCCGCAGCTCCGCCCGCGTTCATATAACCAAAAACCAAATTCTTAGGTTTTACATATTATACTCTTACATTGCAGTTTTTGTATTTTTTCAGAAATGAGATATTTACCCTGGTAAAAACTATCCTATATGTTGACCCGGATAACCAGCTATCACCATACCAAATTTCATCAAAATCCCTCCAGTGGTTTTAAGCCAGTAGTTATTTAGATCATCATGTTACCAATTATGAGGTGATCGTGATTATTACACATAAAAAATAAAAGATTTTCTTCTTTTCAATATTTTTAGCAAAACCTTTATGAATATGTATCAGTAATAACAATTATTTCTTATCATGATTTTTTCACAAATAACAAAAAGTAATCTCCTTCCATCTTCTCTTTCATCTTCCAATCTTTGTTCCATAGTCCTTAATACTTATACCTACCTTCAGAAGGTAAATGTTCAACAAGACCAGGTGCTAAATTGTCTGGGAGACGTGGTGTAGATAGTGCTTGCAGTGATCTAGCAAGACTCGGAGGCTGTGGTGGTGGACCTTGCCCAACCAGGTCTTCAATACCTTCTCGAGGTGCTGAGGAAGGGCCAGACATACTCCCACCACTGCCACTGCCACTAGCACCGGGTCCTGAGTTACTGGTGCGACTGGTTTCATCTTCTGGACTTGTTTCACTATCTAAGGAATTCTACAACAATACCTTTAATATAATTTTAATTTAAAATATTCTAATACTGTCATATAAATTCATACCTCTTTTTAAATCAGTGCCCTATCTAGTTAATAGTAAGTAGGATGATATTTTCATATAGTATTTAAACATATCTACTCAATTGATAATTTATAATAGATGTATTAATAACATTACCTAGTAGTTTTCACATAACTTCAGTAAAACTAAATAACTCACTCTGTAATACCACCATGCTGGTAATGGACAGGCTTTATTCAATCTGCGCTCTGAGCTATAATTAAGATCTGAAGGTTCATCATTGCCGGAGTCTCCATCATCAGTCTTTTCACTACAAAAATATGAGCTTGGTAGATACGACGGAAAATCAGGAAACAAAAATGTATGACAGGTTACGCATACTGGTTCTCCAAAACTAGGACCATAATAACCATTGCAAACGTAGCAACTGGAGTTCTGAAACAGTTAATAGTTTGATAATAAAATAAATTCATTTATATATAATTTTCGTTCACATTTACGCACATTGAATTCAAATTCGAGCGGCTGTTCCACTGGAGTACCAGGAGTTAATTTGTCTCCACTATCTTCTAACTTTTTTATAAAGCTATAAAATTCTGATCCTATTACAGACATATTTAGTAAAACAATATGCAGAAAATGTTTATTTAATATCTGGCGTTCTTTGAAGAACACTGCACAATATTATTATACTATCCCTCACAAATAAAATATAAATATTTGTTTTGATCTTAAATGTTATATGTCAAAAAATATAAAGAGAAAAAATCACTTCAATCCACAGATAAATATTAGTACAGTACAGGCAAAGACGTCCCATTCTAGGCGGTCATAATTTAGGTTTTTCCTTATTTGTACGATAAATAGCGCTTATACATTAAACTGCCGAACAATTTTATTTTATGACTAGCATTGCCCGCGGCTCCGCCCGCGTTCAGATGACCAAAAAGCAAATTCTTAGGTTTTACATATTAGTATACTCTTACAATGTAGTTTTTGTATTTTTTCTCAGAAATGAGATATTTTCCCGAGGTTAAAAGTACCCTATATGTTGACCCAGATGACCAGCAATCACCGTACCAAATTTCATCAAAATCCCTGCAGTGGTTTTTCTGTGATGCGGTAACAGACAAACAGACAAAAATTCAAAAAACTATAGATTCGGCCTCTGTATCGATAAAAAAAATTATTTCAATAAGATTTTCCAAAAAATATTGAAAGTACAGATTCGGCTTAGTTTGGATTTTATTATATGTATAGAAAATACATGCTCTTAAATATGTAAAACATTGCCTTCAAACATTAAACAATTAGGCAGAATCATTTTCTTTTTTTTATTCACTGATTTAGGAACTGTTTTTATTCATCTTATTTTACTAATGGGTTACGTAAATTCATTTTGGTCCTTTGATCTGAGATAATATTATATTCATATTTTATTCGTATAATTTGTGTAAATACCAAAATTTTGTTGCCTAATAAAAAGTTTTCAATGAAATGTTGCCTTTTATTTTATTCCAATACTGCATTTGCGCGTGCAGACTTCAGAAGGTCAAAGTTTATAAGATATTTCTTTAACTCAATCTCGCTTAGATTATTAAACAGATTCGGACAAAGCTTCATACAAAAATACACTTAAGAATGGCGGCACTACTGCTACACGAGAACCAAACGTGTGTGCCAATATTCAGCTCAATCGCACACTGGGAAGTGGGTCAAATTTAACTTGCAAGTTTTGATTACAGACAGACACCGGGACTGGTGAAACAAAGCTTGTAATAATTCCATAATCCATAATGCACCAAAACAAGTGTAACTTGAAAAAGTTTTTTTTTCTTATTGTATAATAGTTCAACTGAATTGTTATTTTAACTCTTTAGTTCTTAATGAATTGATTGCTGATGAAATTTTAAATGAAAAAAAAACAATTAATGCGGCATGTTTCAAAATTCTGTACAACAGGTTTGAAATTTTGATTATTCTGGATATCAAACACTCATCACGCATTAAGCGTGTGATGTAAATAATGGGGAAATATTTTTATTAAAATATTTATTGCTTTTGAATGAAGCCTATATCAATATTTTTGAAGTAAAACTTCTGTAGAATCGTTGTGATTTGAAACTCCATGAAACGGAAATGCAACACTAAAAAGAGACAAACACATAAATACATAAACAGAATTAAGCCGGCAAGAGAATGAGATAGAATACATTGCCATGTTGTCTTGGTAACCGTTGAGACAGAATACATTATACATACACAGGAAGTGAAAAATAATAAAATCAATATCAAAATGAAAAATAATAATAAAATCATAATCAGTATTATTATGTAATGTATATTTATGTCAAATAAAATGTAAAGTAACTTTTAAACTTGGTAAAGACATTATAAAACAAAACCCTCATAATTATTCTACTCCTATTAATCTGTATCCCATCAAAACACAATGTGAAAATGGGAGCCAAGTTTAATGTTAAGAATATGCGTGGTTGTCAACTTCACCGACAAAAGAATTGAGATCTAAATGGGTGCAAAGATCTGTAGATAATCCTGATTTTTTTTTATGAGCAAGTAAAAATAGAACTTCATAAATTTGAACAGTCGAATTATTTACACAGAGTAACTTAGGATAAATTGAAGTTCAAGTTTTGACTTGGCTAGTTTTTACCAGTATAGCAAGTTTTTAGAAGAGTGAGATATGTGATTAGCCGAATATAAGGTAACTTGTATGTTCTCTTTGGTTTTTCTATGTACTGTGACGTCACGCCAAGCGCGCGAAATAGCGGACGCTTAAAGTATCCGTATCGGTATAATTTTAATTATTTTTTTATACTAAATTTTAGTCTTATCCTATATTTAGTTTAATCTTATGTGGTAAGTAGTGACTGATGGATATGAACTGGTGGAAAAAAGGGTCGTTAAAATGTTAATAATAAATAATAATCTCATAAAGAACAAGATATATGTAAAAAGGTTTAAAAGTATTAGGTAAATAAAACAACAACTGTTAACTTAAAATTATTCTTATTCAACACACTTATACTGTTCCTTCAATGAAATCATTTTTTATTTTTGCGTTATCAGACAATTAAAGAGAAAATACTTTACATACGTACATTGTACTTCTATTTAATTGTTTTATAATTTTACAATTCTAATATAAATCATGTAACAATATGAAAGAGTTGTTACTACATTATTTAACAATGATTGAAAAAAAACCACACTTAATTTTCTTTTCAAATTAAACAATAAATTTATGTTCATAGTGTAAAAGATTCACATTTTACAGTTCTACGCATTATAAAAAAGTCATTCATTTGTGCTTCTATACAAATTACGTGACACTTATAAATATAAAATTTTTAATTGCCATTTTAATTTCCAAATATCTTTTCGGTTGGATGGAAAATTATTCTTTATTGTATGTATGACAGTTCTCGTAACACTACAATCACATTCAAGATATGTAATATATTCGAACTCACAACCTACAATATTGTGTGTCGCAATTTTAGCAGAGTGCGCAGCCATTCACAACGTTCTTAGTTGTATTACGAGTACTGTAGATACTTAAAAATTTATAAGCCATAAAGTAATATCTATGATCCCTATTTAAAAACTCCAATAGAATCCCATCAAAAGCAACAAAAGCCACATAGAAACCAATAAATATTTATTTTTTTACTTTTGTCGCTTTTGGTGGGATTCTATTGGAGTTTTTCAACAGGGATATGGGCACAGTTTTACAATCCTTACAGTTGGGAAACGAATGTATTTGCCTGGAGTATCGGCGGGAATCTCGCGGGGAAGTGGGCGGTGCGGATCGCGGCCCCCAATCCCGGATCGCGATTAGCATTTCGCGCTTAGTTTGCGCCAGGGTTGGATTTAGGTACGTTGAAAACGATAGTACGAAATATTAAAAATTTAAAAGAATAGTATTTGTAAAAAAAAATTACACTTTGTTATTTTGAATTTAACATAGTCATTAAAAGTTTATCAATTCTTCTATATCATTATTTAATAAGAAATGAAATAGTTTCATCCTTAGAAATTTTAGAATTTAAACTTATTAACATATCCTCGTCGTACTTGTCTTACGGTGAAGGAAAACATCGCAAGGAAACCTGCATGTCTGAGAAGAAACCCAAGTTTGCAGTGGGACGTTAAAAAGAGCTGAATACAACATATCCTCAGTAGGAATAATTAATAAGATCAGTACAATTCCCACTTTTGTTAGGTGCCATCTTTGATAGTGTCACAACTCAAGATAACAAAATGGCGTCTATGGATTGTGTTGCCAGTGTGTTTCATATCTTAGTCTGAATATTCTCTCTTAGTCAACATTAGCCTGGGGAAATTCTAAGAAATCTAGGGCAAAATTAGTCATTTATGTAAAGTATTGAAATTATAGTATTTTTTCATACTATCCTTAGATATGGATAGTATATAGTACGAAGCATGAAATTGTAGTATAAATATTGTTATTATAGTACGAAATTCAACCCCTGGACTTAGCGCACTGGAGTCTGGAACGCCTAGGACTGATGCGACCGTGTAAATCGCGAGCGAGTTTTACGAGAACCGTTAATTACATTAATTTTTTTGGCCGGCTACCGTTTCCTACAGCTGGTTTTTCTGAGTAATAAACTAGAAAACCATTTTAGGCTGAATTTCTATTCACTTGTTTTAAACAATATTTTAGAGAATTTATAAGTAAACTAGAATTTAAATCACGGCAATGCTCATGTTTCCCTCAAACTTTTGTGACAAGATTGTTCATCTCAATGCGAATACATTACATAAGTAATTAAATTTAATAAAATCAAACTAAAAAATATCTAAAATAAAGTATATGTAAATGTAATTATGTACATAGGTACTTGTAAATTAATAATTACATAGTAATCACATTTATTTTCTTTTTTTTTGACAACCCTTGCACATTTACGACATAGTGTAACTACTTACTACACCTACACGGGTGGCGGTGTTGTCCGCCATCAAAGACGTCTCCCAACTGTATGGATTGTAAAACTGTGCAATAGGTAAGGGCAGCTACACACCACTATATATGGAAACACAACTTTTAGCTTCCATTTTCCTTAGTTTCAGCCTTCATTCGTTTGATTTTCATTTCAAACATCAATGAAACGGACTTTCATAGATTCGATAAGATTGCAGATGCACATCGCCTGCATTCCGACAGGTTTAATTTACTTTACCCATACCTAATACATATAGCTACCCTGACCTATACGTAAAATACTAATATAATAAAATGCAGTTTTAAGTAATAAAATGTAGGCATACTTCTAAATAAAATTAAAAATTATTACATCATGGATTATTCCATAGAAGTTGTCACGAAAAGCTAGAAATTAGTAAATAAACAACATTGTTTTTTTTAAATTAAGAACTAGATTAAGGCTGTTGTGTATTTAATAAGTAAATAATAAGCTTATAATTTGATTTGGAATAAAATAATATCCGAAATTGTTGAATGTTGATAGGAAATATATAATAAAAATATATTACTTTTGCACTTTAACATGTAGAGCATGTGTTTTATTTTTTTTCGTGTGTGTATTCATAGTTGTTGTTTTAATAATTTGAGCTCATCATGATCGAGAATAAAACATAATATAGTGTGAAAATATTATATATACCTATGTTTAACAATTTTAAGCTTTACATGTAATATTTTTTCTGATTTATCATTTTTTTCGTTTTCCTTAAAAAAAAATATGTATTACATGTACTTGTCTAAAACAGAAGAATATCCTTTCGTATTTTTACTTTTAGTGATAAATAACAATACTTTTTAAACCTCAGCTTAATAATTTGGTGGGTTTGAATTAAAAATTTAAATGATTTATGATCAATGATTTAGGTCATTGGTAGTACATATGTATATTTTAAAATACCTTTAAAAGCTAGTGCTCTCTGCATAACTTTCAAATTTTTACAAAATTATTTTAACTAAAATGTATTTTTTAATCTATCTAACTTGTAGTTCTGGCAGAGACTGTTTCTAGATAACTTAATAATCAATAAAACGGTACAAAAAAGACCATTTAATAGAACTTAAATAAAATAAGTAAAGGTAAAAATTAATCTTATAATTCATTCACTTAAATATTAACAGTAGCCACTACATTTCTTAATATATATAATAATAGTGATTTTCATTAATCGAGAATATACTTATTACTGAAACAAAATTCATTAACACTTTTATACAAAAGGAAATGACACCCTATTGACAGACTTAATTATTAGTTAAAATTTTTTATCGTTATTCAATTCTCCGCTAACCAGTGTTAACATGTAGTGTTAATATGCGTGGGGTATTAACATTACTACACTATCTTTCTATGTATAAAAATCCATGTCCTCTTATTGATTAGAACGGTTCGCAAGTCTTTATTCGTCTGACACACTAAACTAATCAATTACCACATAAACATCCGTTTAAACTTTCGCAGGCCGCGAGCGGGGGCTCTTTCCCCCCTCTACCGCACTCAGTACGGAGAGTAATACATGCCGCGCCTGTAGCCTCTGCGAACAACGCACGACATTAGAATCGTGTCACCGTATAAGTTGCGTACTCCAAACTTTTTATATATATATATTATATAAATAAAACAATTGATATTTAACATATTTTTCTTAATCTTGTTAAGTCAGCAACTTACAACTTTTAGACAACAAACTATCTAGAGTGCAGTAAGCTACTGGTGGCTCGGATATCATCCACATCTTGTCTAATGTGACTATAAGTCATACCATGCAAACCAAGCGCGAAAGGAAAAGGTAGGATATAGCATTGAAAATACATATATGTCCATCACAAAGTTTATTTCATTCATATATAAATATTTTAATATTTTTGCTCGACAATCAAGTACCAACACTGATATAAAATTCTGACTACTGAATTCCAACATAAGAGATGCCACCAATCAGATTGTACTTTAAAAACTTCAAAAATAGATGTTTGTACAAAAGTACAAGTTACGAGTAAAACTTTGCATTTTAAATTAGTAAATATTATGCGGACATTAAATTCAGTGTCATCTCTTACGGCACAAAAGGAAAACATTCTCAACAAGCTAATACAACAGCGACTACAACAGATATAACAATATAATCTGAAGTGAACATAAGAATGAGAAGTGTTCAAAGTGCCAGCTCCAAACCAATACAATAATTTTATTAACACCATACCAAAATAACTGAAATAAAATTTATATCATGAAGATGTAAATAAGAGGCCAAATTGCTTAAACCATGCACTTTTTAAAAACTATTTATCATGAGTACATTTTTAAAATTCAGATGGATACATTCATTGTTTTAGTCAAAAATGAAAAGTAGCATTTGACAAAAATAGACATGAAATTTCTATAAGACAGACTAAAGTTAAACATTAAATGCATTCCATATAACAATCAAAACTATAACTAAACTAAATGCAATCAAGCTATTACTACATTAAAACAAGATTTTTTATATGAATAGAGGTACTAACATCAACATAATATTATAAAGCAAATTCAAACTAAATGAAATCCCTAGTTAGTTTGGATAGTGGGTTTAAAAAAATATTGATATATAATTATTCATGAAACTAAAGCTATATAAAATTTTAAACTGCAACAAAATTTACGGGTACATTCCTTTAGATTAGATTACAAATTTGAAATAACAATGAACAAAATCTCCAACCTAATGATCCAAAGAAAATTTCTATCTATATGAAAAGTATAGATGAAAATAAGATGCATATTTTTTTATTTTTCTCTATATTATTTGTTATTTCTGCCATAATAAAATAAAATCGTGTGATAAAATTATAATATTTGTATGGAGCGGTGCATTGGCATTGACATTATTTCTTAAAGTAATTTTGTTAAGGTACTATGAAGCCCGGAGTGTACCAGTGAGTGATAAAGTCTTGTTATTAGAATATTATAATATTGTACACAATGTTTAAGCCAAGAAATGGTGTGATAGAAATGGGTTTTAGTCAATTTTTCAAGTTTCAAACAACTGGAGATATAAGTATGGGTGCATTGTGATGGGTGGCTTATTATTCTAGAACATCAGTCATATTTAAGTTTATGTGTAAAACAATACTGTTTTCTTAGTTACTGTAAATTATAATAAAATTTCAAGAAATTATTTGAGCATATAATTTAGAGCATACACACTGAGTCAGTTGCATTTAAAAACCAGGTTCGTTGACCTTATATGAATAGAATTAATAATTGGTATGTAATTTGGTAGATGAGCGTAACAACTACCAAGTAAAACGGACCTACAAGAGCTCTTGCGACTGGCTTGTAACATACATATATTCAAGTGAACAGACTATTATCTTGTTTGCATATTCAGATAAAACTATAGCATTGGTATGGAGCGGTGGTTGGTTGCATTTAATATGGGTAATACCTGCCGCGCCGCACGGGCCGGTAGCCCGAGAAGTAGGGAGTGTAGCTGCCGCGCATGGGGCGGCCGCGGCCCCGCACGCCGCGCGGCGGTCGGTTCGTTGTTGACAGACCCGGCTTGTTGGTGCGTTTTGGCATCACCTGCAATGTGACAGTATATTTAAATAAACCTGAAATGTTACATCGTTGGTAATTAATCATTTGAGAACAGATGGAGCAATATAGTTAGGCTTTTTTTAAACATTTGTTGGTCTAAATGAGGTTATTAGAAAAAAAATGGAGATAATTCCTATAAAATTGGTAAATTTAGGTAAAATATAGATGTTTTTCTCTAGGAATGGGGTTTTCAACATCATAAGCAAACTCAATGAAATTTGAACAGAACAATTTCTGTTGGGTTAGCTTGTAATTAATAACTTTGAATTCTATAGTACTAACAAACTAAATATATATATAAATCATCATTTACAGGTAAAAAAATATGATTAACAGAACAGCAAATATAATGTAAATATAAAATTACCATACTTCAAAATATAACAACAACAATAACAATATAAAATTGCTTAATCTAAGACCTAGGTTATTAGTCACAGCTCCTACGTGCTGCATTCTATAATTGTACACAATTTGACTCAACTTTGATAAAGGTACAAGTTAGCTGCTAGACCAACAAATGACATCTTAGTACTTTATAGCTAACACTTATTTTGTGTGATATATTTTAAATTCTTATCAATATATCTGTTATCTCAACCACTTATATTCAGTCTTTTAATATAAAATTTCACTACTTATAAAGAGATAATAAGTTTTTACAGTGAATTTATATTTCAGCATCACACAACACACACACACAACACAGTCATTGGAAATATCTGAGCTAGTTATATCAAAACAGATTCAAAAATCAATTGTTTTGATGTTTTTATCTCAAAAAAAAAGATCAATTTGTTTGTTTCTGTTTTTGCTAAATTAAAAGGATCAGTAAATACATGCCTTAAAAAGTCTTCCTAACCAAATTCCAGTCCTAGTGGCCACTGGCCAGTCTCATTGAATGGCATCTGTGTATAGGTATACAAGCGCATGCACAAACATAAGTACACTTTCTTTTTCCCTCATTCTCAAAATCAGCATTCAATGTAACAGCAAAGCAAAATAAAGAAAGATCAAAAAGTTGCAGAATGTAAATTCACCAACTTCCCTACTGTCTTCAGTAACTAACAATTACTTTGACACAAAGCCCAAAAAAAACTTATTTTTTCTTTTTTTAAGCATTGGGAAATGCATTTATACATACCACCTGTTATAATACAGCTATTTGTGTGGAGACATACCAGCTAAAAAATTCAACAAAAACCTTAATCTTCACAGTGTTAATGAAGTGATGCATTTACAAATTTAAGCCACGACACCCCCAACAGCTAGACTAGTACTTAGATACTGAGACAGACGTTCTCCCGATTGACACTGCTGGCTGCCCATCGGCCCGACTTTGGAGCTTGGGTCATTTTTAACTAAACTAAAACAATCAGGTGGTTGCGCTCACAGTCCACACTGCTACCGGAGAAGCACCAGAAACAACTCACATAATGCACTTCCTAACACTAAAGTGAGCCAAGAGTGTCACTTAGCTTCATGCTCAGCGTGATTGCCTTTTTTTTTTTTTTTTTTTTTTTTTAACGTTGGGAAATGCATTTACGCACGAAGTGTGGGACTCACCGGCGAAGCCAGTACTACCCACTAAAACCCAACAACCTTCCCCCGTCTTAATGGGGCGTCGCAGGATCGCTTACGCATTCAACTACGACGCACAGCGTGATTGCCTAGCACTACTGAACCCTCCACAACACAGTAAATACACATAAGTTTTCTAGCCTAATCTTGAACACAAACCCATTCAATGGATCTGAAAAAAAAATAAGCTCACAATTGGACACAATAAGTATATATAATTCAAACTAACCTTAATTTGACGCCCTCTAAACAAAGACTCATCCATAGCCATAGCTGTTTGTACACTGTCCTTGTCACCAAATTCTATGTACGCAAAACCTTTTGGATGTCCATCAAACTTATTACATAATATTGTAACCCTAAAAACATTATAAAATATTATATTTTTTTAATTAAAATTAGTCCTAGTTTAATTGATTCTCCTAAGATATAAGTTGTAAATAGAAGTGTATGAGAGCAATAGTAAAATTTTGATACCCACAATTTTTCCAATAATCTGACACAATTTTATAAATAAAACTACCGACTCACAGTCGCTTCGCTCGGGTTCGTCCCTAGACACTTTTTAATTTTTTCGAGCGGAACGCTAATTCTTTTACTGCAATAAAAGTAGCCTAAGTTACTCCTTCTAACATTAACTACCTGTCAACGTCAGTGAAAGTCCCGTAAAAATCAGCCCAGCCGTTTCGGGGATTAGCCGAAACAGACAGACAAAAATTTTAAAAATTGAATTTTTCTTATAAATAACATATATAATTCCATATTCATTTAGTAAAAAGCTGTTATTTTGACATTACATACAGACACTTTAATTTTATTTATCTGTATAGATGTAAAGATAACTGAATTCTTTCAGAAGCTATAAGATTGTTTATGCTTTTAACTTATCTGCTTGATTTGAAAAAATGACATAAATTACTATATCAATATTACTACATCAGAGTTATAAATTGTGTATGAAAATAAAAAATGGCACAACAACAAATACCTATTAATAGATCCACAACCATGAAAGTGCTGTTCTAGTTCCTCTGCAGTCGCTCCATAGTCAACATTGCCAACATACACTGATCTGTTATCTGCTTCTATTTTCTCTTCTATAGACATGTTTAATGGACTTGCTGTGTAAGAAAAATAATAATAAGCAATATATCTTAAGAAAATTATTGTTTTCAGAAAAAATATTTTAGATTATACTTTATTTTTACAGTAGAAAATTTAATACATTAAAAGCAATTGTTTATGATTTTATTAGTAGTAATGTAAGTATCTTAAGTTTTAAATTTATTAATAATCTAAGAGGTAAAACATTGACAATAATAATGTTATGCTGCTTTATTATAGCTAAAAACCTATGATTAAAGAGTCCCAACAATTATTTTAACTTTATATAGTTGAACAAGTGGTGTTTACTTACTAAGTCCAGGTGGACTTCCCATGCTCATCTGTTTATCAACCTCTGTGTGCATTTGTTTAAGTTTTTCAGCTTCCTCTTCCATCTCCCTCACCCTGGCCTTAATTGCCGCCAGGTCCGGCACATCTGTACCTGAAGCTTCATCTCCCTATAACAAATATTATGTTTAATAAGTACAAAAACTAATTCAAAAAATAGACTGACATTGAAATGTAAATTCTACATGTAAACACACAACATTAACATCATGAAAAATGGTTCATGCAATCAAATTATATATGAGTAAAATAAAGACTCACATATATATAAACATCCTAAACAGACTTCTTTCGCACAGTCATGTAATATTTTAACAATGTTCACTAGTCAACAGTAAAAAAACAATAGAATATTTTTAGAATATAATAAATTACGATAAAATATGTGAGGCAGTTTGTTTTCATGGTGAATAAATATTATTTCAATGAAAATATAATCTTTGTTCAATATTTCATATTCTCAATATTTTAATTTATATATTTAATATTTTATAAAATAAACATTTTAAATGTAATCTTTAAGAAGTTTTATTTAATTACTGTAAATTGAATATTTGAAACGTAAAGCACTGTATAATTTTGAAAACGACGTAATGAGTGTATAACAAAAAGTATTTAAAATCACCAGAAGTATTAATTTATATCATTAAAAAACTAATCATATACTTACACCCAAGCTGTTGTCGGTCATATTTACTGAACCGTTGGCTCCGTCTAGGTGATTGTTGTCAATCGAATCTAAATAATCATTATCTGCCATATCAACTTACTCGCTATTTAAAAAAGTTGTACAGATTTTTAAACAAATCACTACACATGAAGCACCTGTAAACAAATTAGATTTATAAATAACACGAAAGTTCTTATAAATTAACCAATGAGCAAAGGAAGCTATCTGAACTCTGACGTACCGGTAACCAATTTAGAAAATTCCGGCTGACCTTATTTTAAAATATAGCTAGCATTATCCACTATAGTTTATAGTCAATCACATAAAATGTTATTATCTCATAAACATCTTATTATTCGCGTTATGTTCATAGATTTGTTTAAGGAAAAATATTTTTAACGCCAAACAACTATTTGTCAATTGATGACACAGATGACAACTTTTCATAATAAATGTACCGCTGTCCACTACGCAACATTTGTTTATGGTTTGCTTATGGTTAAAGCTTTTGTTTGTTTATTTGTTTTATCGTAAAGGTTTAAAACAACTTTTTAAAATTATGTAACATAGTTTGATTTTACTGTAAAAATCTTTTTGAAAAATATTGTTCTAAATTAATAATGAATACGATCGGTCGATCTACCACTAGCCTTTAATTGAGTCTTGTTAGCTAAAAAACCCTGAAAATATAGCATTATATTCTACGATTCTCAATTATATCGTTATATTTATTATTATTAATTTAACATACAAATCATAGTATAAGTAACAATACAATATAGACAGACTTATTACCCGACTTCCAAAAAGGAGAAGGTTCGCAATTCGTCGGAATCTTTGTTTTTTTTATGTATATTTACCGATTACTCGTGGACGCCTGAACCGATTTGGAAAACCTTTTTTTTTGTTTCGAAGGGTATGCTTCCCAGATCCCATTTAAATTTTATCGAAATCGGTCAAACGGTTTTTAAAAAAATCAAGAAATAAATATTTTTTAAATAAATTGCTTAATCCAATATGTTATTAAAAACTTTTTTCTTACAAATTATCTGCTTATTACGTCTAAAAATGGACAAATAAAACATAAAAAATACCGAGTTTCAGCCTTCAGGCACTAATCAGATATTTTCGAAGTCGGTGCACGCCGATGTAAAGCAAATCTAATATATTTCGATACCTAAAATACTTCACAAATTGATGTATAAAATTTTAACTATGCTTATTAGAATTTAGAGTTAATACCAAATCGTACTCGTATTTACCTTATTTTAGATATTCATATCTTAAAATATTGTCGGCTAGCACTGACATCGAAAATATCTGATTAGATATCTATTCTAAATGAAAACCCCCGTTTAGTTATTTTTCACATTTTAGTGCCTGGAAGTCGTTTTTTTTTTAAGTTTTTATTTACTTTTTTTTTAGTTTTTATATAGTATATACTATTCTGCATCTGTCGTGAGTCGTTTGATGTTGTTAGATTAACCGTCTTTTTAATCTATGATGATGTTTTGATTTTGTTTTGCATCGACAAGAAATCAGAAATGTCACACAAGTCACAAAGTTCAATGAACGAATTGACTTATTAAATTCAAATAATAATAATTGATCTCAATATTTAAAAAAAGTATAAATAATAATAATTAAGTATAATTATCATTAGCAAGACAATTGAATTGTATAATTATTTCATCAAGTGTTCTTGTTTGTTATGTTGAGAAACGTTTCTTGGTTTCAAGTTATTATTTTGGTTAGTTTATCTTAATATATAAATAATTTAGTAAAATACTAAATTATGTAACAAAATAAATATTTTTAAATTACGCATTTTTTAATCAGGTTTTTATTTGTATCAGCTGGTTCCACGTGATTTTTATCAGTTGGAAGCTTTCAATTGCTAATTAAAATGCCACTGACAGCTGATGTAGCCGCTCAGCAAGTGCAGGTAAAATGATTATTAAATAAACTCATGTTAAATTTATAAAGAATTTGTGGTTTATTTAGTGTCAAACCTAGCAATACCATTGCATTTCATAGATTACATTGAAGTTGATTAATCTTACTCTTGTTGAATTTATTTGCAAAATAAATAAAGTTATGCGGTTCATTTTTTTCTATTTTTTGTAAATTTTGCATGATTTTCAATTTTTTGTAAATTCAGTTATTTGTGATAAGCTATTTGTATATGTTATTTAAATTATTTAATCATGTAATTATTTATAACTTAAATTTTAAAAAGGTTTTTAAAAGACATCCCACAGTTTATGTATTTAATTAGTGGTTCTTTAAATGTTTAAAAACATCAAATGTTCCATTGTAATTCTTCATTGTATAAGTTATCTGATCAATATGTTACACTTTTTTTGTATCCCTAACTTTATTTAACAATCTTGAAATAAGACAGATATTTAGTCGATTTTGTTTTATATGACAGGAAAAATTAAGAACCTTGCACAGATTGATATATGATATTGAATCTGAGAGAGGGCGTAATGAACAATGCATAGATTCAATATTAAGAGCTGAAAAAGCAGCTGAATCTTCATCATCTGCGGAAGATTCCTCTAGTTCTTCTCAGCAGGTAAGACATTTAATTTTGTATATTGACTTTTACATTCACATTATTAGTTCTATGATTTATCTTCATTATAAGATTTTATTAAATCTCATGGATATGAAAAGTGAGTGAGTGAAATAGGTTTTATCCCAGAAATCATCCCTTATAGGAGTGAGAATGGGGATGAAAGTTTGTATGGGAAAGCAAGCTAGGGACAAACCCTAGCGAAGTGAGGGTGAGTCACTAGTTTATATAAAAATACTATTCTGGTACATATATATGTTCTTAAATTTCTATCAATTCTCTTGTTCATGGCTTCAAAACATGCCACTTGATCACATTACTTTGTCAATGTCACATAGAAAAATTGATCCTCTGCAATATGTTTCAATTAAATATTTGAAATAATTTTTACTACATAATAGATAATAATGTTAATAAAATTTTAGCAAATGCAACTAAAGAATTTATATAAGACGGGGCTCACAGCCGCAGAACAAGAAGAGAGAGTTCTCCGAGCAGCTTTATCACGAATTTATGAAATTAGAGCAATTAAAAATGAAAGACGTATACAGGTGGGAATTTCATAAGCAGATTAGTTAGCACCTAATAAAATTCATTAAACCTCTTATTCTAAGTCACCTAACTAAATGCATTAATCAGTGCCTTGAAAAAGGTACCTTCCCAGATAGCTTAAAAATAGCTAAAGTTACCCCCATATTCAAATCTGGCTCCAAAACTGATCCGGGAAACTATCGTCCTATATCAGTTTTACCCGTATTATCTAAAGTATTTGAAAAGGTGATATACAATCGTCTCGAATCTTATCTTGGTGCCACAATAATTTTATACGACAAACAATATGGTTTTCGACCAAAATCTAGCACACTGTCAGCTACAATCGACCTGATAACAAAAATTAAAATAAACATTGACAAAAAATTAATTGCTCTAGGTATTTTCATAGATTTAAAAAAAGCCTTTGATACAGTTAATCATGAAATACATCTGATGAAATTGATGAGCATAGGTATCACTGGTAATGCCCATAAAATGCTTAAATCATATCTTGAAAATTGATATCAAATAGTTAAAATAAAGGAGAATCAGAGTAGAACTTCTTTAATTACATGTGGAGTCCCACAGGGATCGGTTTTGGGACCTCTTTTGTTTCTTATTTTTATAAATAATATACAAGAAATCGGTTTATATGGAGATATTACCCTCTACGCTGATGATACCTGTTTATTTTACTTTGGTAATTCTATTGATACTATTATAGATAAAGCACAGAATGACCTTAATATACTCAATGAATGGTTTCAATATAATTTATTAACAATAAATACTAAAAAAACTAACTATATAATATTTTCGGCCAAAAATAAAAGAATTAATAATTACCAACCTCTTACAATAAATAACGAAATAATTAATAAAGCTAAAAGTGAAAAATATCTTGGCCTAACCCTTGATAGTCATCTCACATGGAAGCCACATCTAGAAAAGTTACGTGGAAAGTTATTATCTCTCATGGGATCCGTCAGAAATTTTGTTAGATGTCTTCCGAAACAAGTCAAATATATAATATACAATACATTAGCAAAACCTCATATTGATTACCTTATCGAAGTCTGGGGTTCAGCCGCTTAATCTAATATAAAACCCATTCAAGCTGCACAAAATAAACTCATTAGAATTTTATTTCAGTATGATTTCTTAACATCATCAGAGAAAATCTATAAAGAAACGAATATATTGAGCGTGACGCAAACATATACCTATAATACATGTATGCTAATAAGAAAAGTGCTGAGCGGAGATATACATTCTAACATAAAATTCACTAAAAAACAACAAATTCAAAAGCATTTCCTAAGAAATGCCAACAACTTAGTCTTATACGCCCCGAGAACTAACTACGGAAAAAGGAGTCTTATGTTTGAAGGAGCACAGTTATATAATAAATTACCAACAGATATAAAGGAATCAAAAACAATTACAACATTTAAAAAAACGCTAAAATATTATAACTTAAAAAACTTAAAGTAAAATGTAGTCTTTGCCATTTCCATGTTTTCTTTATTCTTAGCGCTTTGCTCTAACTGTATTGTTAACTTGTTTATAGTTTTAAGTATTATTTACAAGGATTACCCGCATACTATGTATTTCTCACAAATGTAACTTGTACGTACTCGCATTTAGTGAATGTTATAATATTTAATGTGTTTTCTCATGTAAGTGAATTTGTTATTCTTAATGAGAAATAAAAGATTCTAAACAGTAATTAACGTCATTCCTACTTAAGTGGTGCAAAAATGTGAAAATGTTTTAAATAAAACAATATTTTCGGATTTTTTTCTGATTTATTTTGATTTTTGGCTTCTCACATTTCGAATGCTTTATAGCAATCATGGTCACAGGAGAGACTAAGGTGTTAGATGTCTCAAAGGTATTATATAGTTGTTACAGAGAGCCTACCCATATATCAAAATAAATCCGCGAAAAATCCCAAAAGATAGTTTTATTTAAAATGTCAAATATTCGCGTAAATCTAAGAAAGTATTAATACTTGCAAATATGTAAAAATTTCAGGCGCGTCACGCTGGAAACAAAGAAACAATAGGATGCGGTGCTCTAATGAAGATGTTGCTAAGTGCAGCGCAAACGTTGCCGCTGCACGTGGGGCGCGTGGGCGAGCGCGCGCCGCCGCTGTGCGGCGCCGTGCCGGCCGACGCCGGTCACGTGGCGCGCCCCGGGGACGCCGTCGCGGCCCTGGTCCGGGTCAGTGAGAAGGAGGAGAATTGGATATTGGCTGAGGTATTTGGTTTGTTTTTGGAATTATGTAGGCATACTGTAAAAATGGAAGTTGTCATGTCTGTACGTCACAGTTGTTTTATTAGAATACTAATGACACTATGTAGTTAATATGAAGGTATGTTCTGTGAATTGTGGTTATATGGGATAGTTTAATTTTATGTGATTTGTGGAATTTTGTACAGTGGTTCAAAACGTAAATGTAAATATAGGGTGGACTCAATTTTCCGCATTTAAACTCTAAAATTGGTCCGTTAACCCTCTATGTAAAAGTCGGACTAGTAGCTAAGTATTTTTTAACAGCAGACTCAAATAATCAGTTTTGGCCGGAATCGAAACTTATTTATATATGCTCGGGAATGTGTACGGCAGCCTGTGTGTTACTCCACTTCATAGTCTATCTGTATACCTTTTGTATTTATAATAACCGCTATAACAATTGAATTAGTTTTAAATTAAATTTAATAATAATTGTAATTTGTAGTATTAAAAAAGTAAACAACCACGATTGAGAGTATTCTTTTGTGGATATTTACAATAAAATTAATTTTATTCTAAGAGGGACTAATAAATAGTATATACCCATAGTCTATACCCATAGTCTATCTGTCTGTTAATCCTAAAATAATATGAATGACAAAAAACTCATCTACACTAACATTTTATAGAGGTGAAGTTTCTAAAGTACCTATTAGTAACGTATTAAACTACCGAACCGGTTCTGAAAATTCTTTTATTAACTAATATTAAATGTAAAAATATGTATAGTGTCAGAAATCACAATACGTTGAAGTCGAAAAAAAAACGTGTGTGTGTGTGTGTACTTATGAGCGCACATAACAAGTTATACTTCTTTCTCTTTGGCGTAACAGAACAAAAATATCTAAAGATTACATCCCGTATGTCACAACTCTTTGTTTGTAAAAGGTATGATAAAATAATAAAAATAAATATATTATTTTGTCTCCACTGATATAAAGCACGTGCATGGACGAATTGTGGTTAATTCGTTCATGAGCACGTGTTATAGATTTATGAATATTCGAGAAACTTCAAACTACTTTAAATGTAGTTAATTTTTTACGGGAACCATAGAGACATTATCAGCTAACTTCATCATGTCGCTTTTTGGCTGTCGGTGTGCGCGCGTATCGTAAAAATTTTATTCTCATATTTTTTTTCCAAATGTGTCAAAAGAAGTATAACTTCAAAAAAAAAATGGCCGTTGAGTTACTTCTTGGCTATTTTTAAGCACCTACCAGGAAGTAACTAGTATTGAATGATGTAAACAGGTAGTCAGCTGGCTGCCGGCGCAAGGGAAGTACGAGGTGGATGATATAGACGAGGAGCAGAAGAACCGGCACGTGCTGTCCAAGCGGCGGGTGGTGGCGCTGCCGCTGATGCGCGCGGACCCGCGCACCGACGAGCACGCGCTGTTCCCGAAGGGCGCCGTGGTCATGGCGCTCTACCCTCAGACCACGTGCTTCTACCGCGCCGTGGTCAATAGGCTGCCGGCGTCTGCTGCTGACCCTTATGAAGTACTCTTCGAGGTAAGTCGGGATGAGGGAAAAATTGATATTTGGTATAATCGGATTGTAAATATATTTATATAGCATGTATAAGTAAAGATGTTAGTGGTCTTAAAGTGTTCAAAATTGCAAAATGAACACGTAAATGTTAATTTTACATACATTTGTTTGAGTACAGTAACAAATAATTATATTTAACCCTCTCTCTTCGACTCAATTGTAAAAATTGTTGAGTCTGTAAGCAATAGTATATAATATATATATTTTTAGGATTCATCTTATGCTGACGGCTACTCGCCGGCAGAGCGCGTGGCGCAGCGATATGTTATTGCAATCAAGGAAGGCAAGGTGAGAATTGAGATACTTAAAATTTACACTTTCGTTGAAATCAAACTGTATTAACAATAATCAAATCAAATCGAAATATTTTATTCAGCATTAAATTATTACAATTTTTTACTGAACGTCATGAGTCTACTACCAGTTCGGAAAGAAGAAGCCTCAGACCTGAGAAGAACTGGCGAAAAAAATTCAGTGGGACTAATATTATTTCATTATCTTTTTTTTATAAAGTTAAGTTATAATTCACAATATTTCTATCAATTTGAAATAGCCTGGAGGCGATCATTTCATTCCCAAGGTGTGCCATCTTCTATAAAATCAAATATAATAATCAAACGTTCTTTAACATTTTTCTTTAATTTGGCGATAGAAGCCTTTTGAACATTTTCTGGGATCCTGTTGTACAAGCGTATACATTGTCCATAAAAAGAATTACTGGCTCTGTGTAGACGAGTCACAGGCATTACAAGTTTGTGTTTGCTCCTAGTATTAATGTTATGCATGTCACACTTTTTGGGAAATTCGTGTATATTTTTACGGACATACATAACATTTTCGTACACGTACTGAGAAGCAACAGTCAATATTTTTATTTCTTTAAACTTATATCTTAATGACACTAGGACCTAAAATATACATTGCACGAATAGCTCTTTTCTGCAGGACAAAAATTGTATTAATAGAAGCTGCATTTCCCCATAGTAAGATACCATAGGACATAATACTGTCAAAATAACTAAAATATACTATGCGAGCTGTATCTACATCAGTAAGAAGTCTTATTTTTTTACCGCGAACGCTGCAGATCTGAGTCTACTCGCTAGCTCCTCAATATGGGGTCCCACTGCAATTTCGAATCTATGATAATACCTAGGAATTTAGTGGACTCTACAGGTTTTAACACTTCGCCATTTAATGTTACACCATTATCAACAACTTTGACATTAGGTGTTGAGAATTTTATTAATTTTGTCTTTTTATTATTTAATAATAAATTATTTGAATCAAACCAATAGACAACCTTTGAGAGAGCATTGTTTACATCGTCGTACATTAGCGAATTGCGCTTGACTTTAAAAATAAGTGAAGTGTCATCAGCGAACAATACTATCTCATGTGTGTCCCGTACAAAAAATGGCAAATCATTAATATAAATTAGAAAAAGAAAGGGGGCAAGAATAGACCCTTGTGGAACCGCCATATCTAATGGAGCTCCAGGAGATCTCTTACCATTAACAGCAACCCTCTGTATTCAATTTTTTAAATACGAATTCAGAAGGTCGAGTGCCTTATTTCTAATACCATAGTGATGCAGTTTCCTGATCAGCGTCAAATCAAAGGCCTTGGATAAGTCACAGAATATCCCAAGTGCATCTTGTGACCTTTCCCAAGTCTCAAAATATTTTTCACTAGCTCAACACTAGCATCTGCCGTGGAGCAGCCTTTCGTAAATCCAAATTGTTTCTTAATAAGTAGATTGTGTGCATTGAAATGCGTTAACATTTGCGCGAGTATGATTTTTTCAAAAATTTTACTAAACGTTGGCAGTACAGAAATTGGTCTAAAATTATTAAGGGTCTAAGGTACTAATATAATATGCAAATATAAATTAACATGAAAGAAATCCTTGTTATACATATAAACATATTGTAAGGCTTCTTAGGGATCTTTAGTCTTTAAACGCGCGCGTTTTTAAACTTTAAACCTGTGACGTCCAAAATCTAAACTTATATATAACCCTCTTTATGTGATTCTTAAACATATCTATTTAATCACACAATATTAGAATGATATAACGGCTATAATAAATTCTTAATAATATAGAAATAAAATGATATTTATCTTTCTATTTGCTTATTTCTAAATCGGCAGCTAGATTGGTTTTAAAATGTTTTAAAGTATTATTCATTAGCTGATAAAAATTCAGGATGTTTTTAGTTTTAGTTATATCAGATTTTTATATATACTAGTGACTCACCCTCGGGTTCGTCCCTACTCACGTTTTAACGTTTAGTATAGGTTTCTCAGAGATGAGATATTTTCCCGCAGTAAAAAGTATCCTATATGTTGACCCGGATAATCAGCTATTGGAGTGGCAGGCGTGTAAATAGCCGTGCCCTCTTTACGGTGTGGGAACAAAAATTACGGTCCAGCGCGTGGAAACGCGTGGACCCAACACTGTCCTTAAAAATCCTCAAAAACGTATCTGGCGGATGATGTAATAGCTTACAACTATGCGGGATAAAAGCAAGTCGCTTACCTGGTGCAGCTCGCTGGTCTTCTTGGTGGCCACCTCACTAGCACTTTCACCGTGGATAAGTTTTGCGTTAGAAGAACAATATGAGTCAGGAGAAGCGTAAGTTAATAATAAGATAATAGGTCGGGAGAAAACAGTTAATAATAATATAATAGGAGTCGGGAGAAGACAGTGCCCGCCGTGTCAGTGCGGGCTTTATATATCATATGAGCCGCGCGTGTCGGTACAACCGCGCCAATCAGAATTCGGGCGAGTAGCGCCGCCTGCGGGATTGCGACTGCAATCCGCAAGTCGAATGCTCATCCTTACCAAAAACATTAAAAAAGACAATCCAAGGCTAGTGCTTGCCACACCAGCTATCATCATACCAAATTTCAGCAAAAGCCCTCCAGTAGTTTTTCTGTGATGCGGACACAGACAGACAGAAGACAGACAAAAATCCTAAAAACTATAAATTCAACTGTGTCGATAATAATGTCTATTTCAATAAGATTTACCAAAATATATTTAATGTACAGATTCGACTTACTTACAATTTTATTATAATAATATATAGAAGATAAGATAACATTACTAACTTTTGTTATAAATCGTTTCAGTTCACTAAAACAATGTATTGTTCCAGGGCCGCGGCACCTGACACTCGCGCTCGGCCCCGCCCTCCGCGCGCTCCTCTCCGCTCTCCACGGACTCGCTGCATTGAATGTTGTAACCGAATACAATATGGCTACTTCTATTATAGCTATATTGTAGTATATCATCATCGGACTATTTATAAAGGCGAAAGTTTGTGTGTGTGTGTGTTTGTGTATATGTGACTCTTTTTAGTCAAAACGGCATAGTGGATTAGAATGTTTAATACACTCATAGACTTTTTTGTTTTTTTTTTTAACCATTATACGCATACTGCATACATACAGGTGGTTATGTGGGACTCACTGGCTAAAAAAGTCAGTAGTGCCTATTAAAACGTCGCAGGATAGCTTACGCACTCAACTACGACGCCCCGACGGCAGGTCTGCCTAAGCAGACCACAACAACCATGGGGCTGCTCCACAGTCTACTCTGCTATCAGAGAAGTACTAGGAGCAACCCGCATGGCACCGCAGGACTGCCCACCGAGGTGGGCCGCCTGTCTGTGCGTCTCTTTCTCACGTGCGTCTGGATTGCCGGTTGCCAAAACCCACCCCCCTCACCACAACAATGTAAACGCACACATGTGGGGCGATGATAGAATGAGAGTTGGAGTGGAGTGGCTGTTGGGCAACTAGAGATGGATGCATTCAAATGAAGAGTGTCTAATTTAATATAGCTAACTTTCGGTATAAATTATTTTTAATGCTATTGTTGTATAAAAGTTTTTCTTAAATATTTTCTTATTTATGCAACGAACAAAATATTGCTATTGTCTTTAGAATACATAGGTAAGAAATTGATATTAGGTTAGAACCTAGAGAATGTTCAATTCAACTTGTGAATGATAAAACTAATTAAGATAATAACAGAATGGATTGCCATGTTCTTAAATTCCAATAAAAAAATTCAAATTTGGTGCGGCTTGTAAATATTTAGTCTGTAATTTACTATTTAGTTAATAGTGTTTAATTAGATTAGTACAGTCAAGTTTTTAATTCTAAAATGTTAAATTATATAAATTAAATTTAATAATTAAATAAGAAAAGAATTGGTTTATTAAATAAGATTCAATAAAGATGAATTATTTGATTTATTTCTTACATTTCTGTAAGAATTTGTAGAAAATATCCATAATGTAATAGAATTTTTTGACACTGTTAATATAAGCTTAAATTGTATAAGGATGATTTGTAGAATAAACTTTTTGTAATGACATCAGTTTGCTTTATTTTTACTACTATTAAAGGTTCAAAAATAAAAGAAAAAATAAATTTCGATATTTTATATTATACTAAGTAAAATCTACATAGAATACACGATAAAATAGTTATGTCCGAAATATACAATCATTTAATTTTGATTAGGGTTAAAACAAAAATTGATTTAAAACTCTTTTCTGATCATCACTTACAAACTAAGAATAAAATAAAAATAAATTTAATGGAAGCAAATATAATAGATTTGGACTGAAACTATGTACATTCCAGTCGGAAAAAATAAAAAGGAACTTGCTCCTAGGTATATATATACCTATGATGAATATTTTAAAAACACTTTTTATAATATAGATTCAATACAGCGACGCGCTTAACTATAGAGTCTAATGTTCATCTTTATGTACAAAAATGACTTTTACAATGGTAAACATGAATTCTACCTATGCACGATAGGTAACAACATGGCGGGCACTAAGTCCAATTTAATATATAACTTAGTTACAAAGCAATGAGCAATTTTAGATAATATGGCATAATAACACTAAATAATGCCCAACATAAATAACATATGAGATCAATATACTTCATTTGTGTGAGTGATATGTCCAGTATTATCTTTAAAATCCAATTATTGAGCTCTGTTACAGCACTAGATTGTGAAAAAAATATATTTTTGTATATTTATCAAATCGATAATAAGCGCCGGTTTTATGACATGATATAAAAAAAAGTTAATTCATATTTGCATAAAGGAAATGCAGATGCAAATATTTGTCTTCCAAACATAATTCTGATATTATTTCTTACATTGATTGATGTAACAAAGCTCTTAGCACCATTCACATACATAGAATTAGCTAAACGTACAAATACGTTGTTGTGACAAATATAAAATATTTTCGAATACTTTAGTTGATTTTAATGTTAATGGTAAAGTCAAGATAAACTGATTAAAACAATAAAAGAATACACTTAGAGAGCTAAAAGCAAAATTTTTGGTAAATAAATATTTGAAATTCATTTCATTATCTTTATTTGAAGATTGTTGACTTTATCTGTAATAAAAGAAGAGAATAACATGTTTAATAAAAAAACGATGTAAGAATAACACCTATTTTTAATGAAATTAAAAAAAAATACGTTTCATAGACGTAAAATTTCTAGAGGCAGTAGGCTCATATACAGGATCATTTTTAATTTACTGAAAACCTTTTGGGAATATACTATTTACATCATAACAACAATATCTGTAACAAGAAAAAATATATTTCTTAAATTTTTATTTTCATACAAAAATAAAAATATTTTAAAAATATTTTTATTGCACCTTCTAAACGGTAAAGTTCTAGCATCTGGCCAAGTTTAAATGAGTAAGGGCCACTTCCTACACCCCTCCCCCTCCACCTGTCACTCGCTTTCTTTTGCTAATTGCTGGACTATTACCGCTTAGAAAGAGGAATAAAAATACTTTTATTTTTGTAAAATTTAAGAAATATTTTTTTTTTCTTACAGATGTTGTTATGATGTAAACAGTATATTCACAAAAGGTTATCAGTAAATTAAAAATGACCCTGTATAGTAACAACTAGTTTTGTTAATGAAATAAACTTAATTCAATTAGACTTGTTACAAGTGCTTTTGAAGTAAATGCCTTTGGTAGTATATACAGACCAATCCAAACATCTCTGTTAGCTTTCACATCAATCTAATACTTTAAATGTCAGAATATGTTATGCAACAGATGAGAATGGAAATGACATAAACTTTATTCAATTAGACTTATTACAAGTGCTTTTGAATATTATCTACTAGCAACTACAAAAAAAACTAAAAAGAGGTTTCATATAAACTTTCATGTACTATTTTACCCAATAATGGGATGAATTTCGAAAAATGCTAAACCACGTATTTATTTAATTGTATTGTCCTCAATACATTGCATTGATACCAAGTTTTAAGTAATTCTGATGATAAATAATATTTTGGGTTGTATTATAACGTGTCTTCCCGTGGGAATGAGGTATTCTTCCATGGTAAGAAGTAGCCTATGTCACTCTCCAGCCTTCCAACTATCTCCACACAAAAAATCACGCCAATACGTCATTCCGTTTCGACGAGAAAAAAGGACAAACAAACAAACACACTTTCACATTTATATTATTAGTATGGATTAACATAAAATGGGATAATAAATTCCTATCTTCGATTTCTATCTATGGACCTGTGAAGTCGTGGATATAAATCAGTTTGTAACATTAGTAAAATGAAAGTACACAGTATATAAAAATCTATACAGTAAGCGATTCATCCTCGATTCATCTTTATAGGCAAGTTATATCCGCTAATCCTAAAGCCGTTTCACGACTGTCACATAAAAGAATGTATGAAAGTCGGGTGCGCCTATTGCCCTGTGTACACTGTATGGATTAGTATCCTGTGGTCAGGGCTCGGAAACCCGTTTAATTTTTAATCCACTTTTGGTCATAGACTCCAAACCGAAAGGCTTTTCTTTTAGTTTTAAGGTTTCTTATGTAATATTTTATATGTCGAAATGTGCGATTTCTAAAATGGAGTGATGGATATTTGAGAGCTAAGTGTTGGGGAAAACGACGCTGAGATCTATTTTTCTTCTTTAATGTACAATTTCAAATATAAAAAAATCTTTGATTTACGTCAAGTTATGAGTTTTAGTGCAATTCATCCTTTTCTAAAACCAGATAAAATCTTACGTAAGAAGGCGTTGAGGAGGAGGCGGAGTCCGAGAAATCTTATGTGCTTTTACATGGGGGTAGGGGGAGGTCAAAAATGGCTAAAATTGTCCTTACTTAATTAATGGATGATGTATAGTTTTTTTTAAACCGGTGCCGAGCCCTGCCTGTGGTACGATGAGTACGAGCGCACACAACACATACCGCACAGTCATACCGCCTGCCGGTCACTGACGAGCCCCTGCAGCTTGCGCGCGACGCCGCCGTAGCGCGCACGCTTCATGTCCGCGTCCGCGCGCTTCACCACGTCGCCCTCGTCCGCCGCGCGCTTCAGCCCCACACCCACGCCCACGTCGCACGACACCATCGTGTTGATCGCGTGCAGGTCCTGTTGGGTTCATTAAAAATTGCTTGTTTTAATTAAAATGTAAAATAAGCCTTGGGGTCCGTGACATTTCGCGTGTAATTAGTTGTAAAGACTAATTTTAGCCCAAAATTTTATTGTAAAATTATGTTCCTTCGTTAAGTTCGCCTAAAAAACTAAACATATTAAGGGGTTTATTTATTTAAGTATAAATTGAGTAATTAAGATGTATTATTTTTTGTTTTTTAACAGGAATGATATCAGCATTTGTATGAAATATACAAAATTATAATAGTAAATACATAAATAAACAAATAGTTTGAATAATACATAAATATGTACATTTTTACAGATTACACCAAAAGAAGTCCTTTCCTTACTTACCCCTTTCGTTTTTTAGTATCTATTAATCTTTCTTTTCCTTTGTCTGAGGTGTAAAGTAACTCTTGAAAGTGCCACATGTGTTGCAAATGAACATAAAACTAGTATTATTGTACCTATCATGACTGCCATTTCTATATGGTACAAATATACTGCATGCATGTACAGCTGGAGATCCAGAGGTTTCTGGGGTTGATTAAAGTTTAGTTATTGAGTCTTTCTATTGAGAATGTCTCAGTAACATCCCCATTGGAAAGTTAGTGATGCTCCACCCTGTGCCTCCGAGACCCGAGAGTCTAGTCTATCTAGTAGAAATCAGTGAGGAGAAGACCATAATTAAAAGCGTGTGCACCTTAGCAGGGCTGCGACTGAACCGGTACGTGAGGTGGGGCTGGTGGTGTGGCGGCGTGGTGAGCGGTTTCACGTACAGCTGGTGGCGCTCGGACACGCGCTGGCCGCCCGGCGAGCGCGCGCACAGCGCCGCGCGCCCCGCCGGCAGCGGCGACAGCGACTGCTCCTGCGACACCGTAAAAGAGAAAATTATAACTTTTATACATTGCGTGCTCCTATTGCACTATTATTTGCTTTAACTTTGCACTAGGTACGTTTTAATTTTTTTGAGCGGAACCCTAATCCTTTTTCTAAAATAAAAGTAGCCTATATTACTCTCTATAACCTCAGCTATCTTCCAGTGAAAGTCCCGTCAAAATGAATCCATCCGTTTCAGAGATTATCCGGAACAAACAGACAGACAAAAATTTAAAAATATTGTTTTTTTTATAAGTACCGGATATTTCATATGCATTTAATAAAACTTCAATTATATTTATCTGTATAGATTTCTTTGTTGCAGCTGATACTGCGACCATGCCTGGTCTTTTGATCGCCGCATGTTGAACTAGAGTAAACAGCTAAACCCTGTAGCTGTAATATACTGCAAGATTTGCCTAAGGGTTACACTCAATATTTCATCTGAGCTTAGAATGTGTTCCCCTCGGGGCCTTGATGGATACTGCGTCTATACAGTGTCCTGTCAGAGTTCTTAACAATATTCGTAAGTTATTTCCACACAATGGTAGGACATAGCTATTATACATTTATGTCGTTATCTGACTGTTACGCTACATACATAATAGCTGACGCTAGTGTATGACTAACGTTTAGACTACCTTTGTTAAATTCCTTCGACTAATGTTTGTTAAATCCTTTATGTCAATTTCATATGTCAAAAAGGACCACTGCTGGAACTTGAATTTGAGCATTACATACAACTATTGCACTTGGCAAGTTTTTTTTCTTAATTACTTTAGAGTTTATGTTATAAGCAAGTAATATTTGATGTTTGTTTCAAATATTACTTTTACTATAGAGTAAAAATAAAAGAGAAAAGTAATGTTTGGTCCATATTCTATATACTAATAAATGGAGAGCCGATTTTTTTGTTCGGTTATACTGCTATAACTACTGACCCAATCGGAATAATACTCATACCAAAAGATGCAGCGTGTTTCAGAGAAGGTTTTAGTATATGATATGTTGGTAATTAATGTACTATGCGGGCAGAGCCGCAGGAAAATGCTAGTATAGATATAAATTTCTTAAAACCTTAGGTTCTCATTTAGATTAAGCAAAATACATCACAGGGTAGGATCGGCGATAGGGCGTTAGTAGTACCTGGTAGCAATTTCAATAGATGTTATACACAAGTTTTCATACTCCTAAAAATAATAACTTACATCTCTATGCCTCCCCGTGAATCTCAACGCGAATGACTGTATACACTTCACATATACTTTATTGTAGAAGTTTATTAAGTCTCCTCTCTCTGGGGATTCTGAAAATCACAATTAAACGAGAATAATAAAAATGAGTTTTATTGCAATATTACAATTACAGTACTTTCAGTGTAATAATTGAACTAATTTGTAAAGTAAGCAATTATTTTTATTAAATGAATTTTAAATACATATACCTATTAGTGATTTAACCTCGCTTTGCTGTCCGCCTGAGGTGCCTTTTGTATTTATAATACATACAAGTGGCTATTCATTTTGGCTAATTTTTAACCCTCAACGCAAAAACGACGGGGTGTTATAAGTTTGACGTTTGACGTTCCTGTGTGTGTGGCATCGTAGCTCCTGAACTGATGAACCGATTTTGATTTTTTTTTTTGTTTGAAAAGTGAATTAGTCGGGAGTGTTCTTAGTTGTTTGATGAAAAACGGTCCAACTGGGTCGGAGGTTTTTTTAATTCTTAATTTAATTTAGTTATATATAATAGCAATCTATGTGTCATGCCAGGTCGCAGATCGATGATTTCTAAATAAACTTTAAGTCATTTTTTACGCACATTACAAGATACATAAATATCTACCTTCATCATTACTCTTAATGAGTACAGTTCTATAAACAAGGTTGTCAGCGAGCGGCCGCTGCCGGTAGCAGCGCATGATATCCGTGAATGTTCTTTCCACTTGATTGGTTGCTGTGTTGGAGACCTGGAAAACGAATATCATAACATACATTAGTGATTACAAACTAGTCCATATGAACTAAGTTCCTTATCGCACGTTACACTCGGCACACATGGCGAATGAGAGGTAGATAGAAAACTGTAACATTTCGACCGTCACGACACTTTTCACCGACTGCGGCGAGGCTCACAGGAGGGTTATGTGTTTGATTATTATTTACTCATAGCACCCCAAGTGACCTTATCCAAAGTACCAGGCGATTCTATGTGTTATGGATTGTATGGTGTTAGTCACAAATTTATAAGCCAAGGTCAAAGCGAAAGGAACTTCGTTCCTACCGGGTGTTCCACGACACCTCCCGACTTTTTTATAAATACCTACCATATATAAATACATACCATAGGTTAACATTAAAAAAAACTTATGAACTTCAACCTACTAAGGAATCATAATTCATTTTAATTACTTATATTCGTTAATAACCTATGTTTTAAATATCAGCTTTTCATTACAAATAACAGCTCTTTTTATTCCAAATAATTTTGTATACTCTTCTATTTGATCAGACGAACATTTTTTTATATTTTGTATAATGTGTCACCTTACTTTACTTACTTTGCATATAACATACACAGCACACATGAGTATCTGGTCGAGATGGCGGTCTTTCATCAGCTGGGTCTGGTGCATGATGGAGTACTCGAGACAAGTCCATATTTTCTTTTTTAATTCTTCGTCACGAAGACCGAGACGGGTGCAGAGGTCATTCATTCTCACTACCGCTAAACTATAAAACTGATAAAATAATGATTTATTTATTTAAGCTTCATTGACACATTTTATTTTAATGTTATTTGATTAATCTATCAATATAAAAATATGTTTATTACAATATTTTTTTATAACGCTAGATTGTTTTAATGCAATTTACATATATCGCAAACATCATGGGCAATGGTTACACTTTAAATTAAAAAAAAATAATAATAACCAAAAATATAATTGCCTTTTTTACCATTTCTTAAATTTACAATTAAATTTTTAAATCAGCCAAAAATATCAATTGTTGACATAAGCTTTAACATACTATTTTACTGCTAAAATATTAATGTAATAATTAATATTTTTAAAAAGTCACCTTTCTAAAGAAGAGTATTAATGAGTTATTAGCCTTCTTTGGAGTGGTGTTGGGAGTATTTTCTGCGCTCGACGTGGACGTGCTGGGTTGAGGTGTGGCGGCCTCTGATGTGTTATTATTTGTTGCTACTAGATGAAAATAAATCAATAAAAAAATTGTCATAGATTACCATATTATTATATTTGTTAGACAATATTTTGTGTAAATACAGGAAGGGAATCAATGGAATTTTCTATATTTTACTGTATCTATATTTATGTATTTAATTTATATATGTGTAGTGTATCAACTATCTGGTATCCATAACACAAGCCTTGTAACTTATCATGGAACTAGATGACGATGTGTGTTAAAAAAAATAGTAATTGAGATATTTCAAATTAATAAACAATAAATTAAAAATTTAAAAATCCCCATACGCAAATTAATTGTCATTTAACGATTACACTGGCACGCGTGAAGCACTAATCGAGTTATCATACGCCAAAATGCCTAATATCATTTTTGAAAAGAGCTGATACTCTTACACTGCTAGACCGACATTAACCAAACATAGCTAAGAACCACCGCAAGGAAACTGGCTATCAAATAAAAAAAACCGCGTCGAAATCGGTCCATTCGTTTAAGAGCTACGATATCACAGGCAGACAGACATATACACACACAGACAGACTGACATCGACGTCAACTTATAACACCCCTCTTTTTGCATCGGGGGTTAAAAATATAATATAAGCAAAATTTTAGCTAGATAGAAAAATGTAAATAAACAACTTGGTTTTTTTTATTAAAAGGCAGCTAGGACACAAGTCCGCTTGTATACGCTATTGCATAACAGAAGTTAGTGTATCTAAATTCTAATAAAATTTCGCCATAATTTGATGAAATGTGTGAAATTTAAAAATTCCAAAACAACTTGATGGATTTTATGTGGATTTTTTTATATTAATGTTCTAACATGATAAACTAATAAATGATGGTTTTAAAACTGCAGATGAAAAACAAAAAAAATAAAATAAAATAATGTATATTGAGATCAGAAAATGAATGATTGATGAATTACCTAAAAGTGACTGACCGGGTCTAATATTGTCTTTGAAAAGTTGCTTTTTCGCCTGGTCCGCCATCGGCGCGAGAAATCGGTCGATCTCTGGTACTGGTGATTGTAAGCCATCTGTTAAACGAAAATTAAATAATAATGAACAACAATAAATATCTTAATGACTATATCTAAGACTGATTTAGAAATATATCAAATTTTCTTAGTTGTCAGTCCAATAAATATATTGTAAATTGTAATTAAGCATGTGTTGTTGTGTGTAAACGGACTTCACATGTCTTTCAAAAACTTGCCTAGATTTTCCGAGACACGCAGGTTTTCTGACGATGTTTTTCTTCACTATAAGGCAAGTAGTAATCATGTTGGAAATCATGTGCTGTGCGGACGCACATGAAAGTATCAGAGTTGCGAGACTCGGGATTTGAACTTTAGAAGGTACTGGGCTACCACTGCCTTTCAAAGTAATAATACCGCTATATTTGGTAAAAATACTATATGGGTAGAGTAGCAAACATTAGATAGAAAAGCCTAATTTAGATTGATTAACAATAGGAAGTACATATTTGTATATTAAAAATTTAGAGGCTTGACTTTGACTTATTTACATATTAATTTCATAATTTATTTACATATAAGCTTCTTCTAATCTACAGAACATGTAACAATGGCTGAGAGGATGTTCACAGATTTGTTTGTTTATCAAGTGCTTAGTATTTATTTACGTTAAATTAAAAATTATATTATATAAATTATACATAGAATACGAAACATAGGTTAAACAGATATTGAAACTAGTTGCGAGAAATTAAATTTCATCAGCCATTTAACTACTTTTTTAAACTAATATTATAAAGAGGAAAGATTTGATTGTTTGTTTATTTGTACTGAATAGGCAGCGAAACTACTGAACGGATTTAAATGAAGTTTGGTAAGAAGATAGTTTGAGACCCTGGGAAAGACATAGCATAGTATTTATCCCAGAAATCTACCCTTAAGGGGGTGACAATGAGGATTCAATTATGTATGGGGAATCAACCTAGGGACGAACCCAAGCGAAACGAGGATGTGTCGCTAGTCTTAAATAAATTTGAATTAATACAATAAAAATATTATTAATTTCTGATGATTTGAAAAATATTTTAAATCTATATATATAAAAGAAAGTCGTGTTAGTTACACTATTTATAACTCCAGAACGGCTGAACCGATTTGGCTGAAAATTGGCGGGGAGGTAGCTTAGAACCCATAGACGGACATAGGATACTTTTTATCCCGTTCGACTGCGTTCCCGTGTGATATTGTTTGTCTGTTTGTACGGGCTAATCTCCGAATCTATTGGACCGATTTAAATGAAATTTTGCATGGTGGTACCTTATGACCCCCTTTTTTTTTTTAACGTTGGGAAATGCATTTACGCACGAGGTGTGGGACTCACCGGCAAAGCCAGTACTACCCACTAAAACCCAACAAAACCTTCCCCCGTCTTAATGGGGCGTCGCAGGATCGCTTACGCATTCAACTACGACGCCCCGACGGCAGGTCTGCCGAAGCAGACCACAACAACCACGGGGATGCTCCAAGGTCCACTCTGCTATCAGAGAAGTACCAGGAGCAACCCGCATGGTACACTGCCCTCCGAAGAGGGCCACCTCCCACCGCCCACCGAAGTGGGCCACCTCCCTGTGCGTTTCTTGGCTTCGCGCCCGGTTGGGTTGCCGGGCACTACTGAGCCCCCCCTACCACGACAAGGTGAACGCACGTTGGGGGGGGACCTTATGACCCCGGACAACGTCTTAGATATTTTTATCCCGGAAAATATAATGGTTCCCGTGGGATAGTTAAAAAAACTATTATAACTTATACAACTTATGCACCTAATTTAGTAAAATTTAACATTCTGATACCTTATATTGCCGGTCAAACAACCGGTTACTTTTCATCCGGGAAAAATGAACGGTTCCCGTGGGAACTAATAGATTTTTATTAGTGTTTTTCTAGAGGCGAACCCGAGCGAAGCGAGGGTGAGCCGCTAGTCTATAAATACTTACTTATTTGATTTATATTTCTACGACTATTGGGCGATTCCTGCACATATACTTCTGTAGAGGCAGGTACTGGGGTCCTGCTGAGCTGATCCCACAAAGGACTGTCTGATGTCCAGACAAGTGACTCCAATACTTGTTCTTCAACCTGAAATGAGTATTTTAAATTTACTAAAAAATCTTTCTTTTTATTTCTGTTTTTAATAAGATTTATCAAGGTAGGAAATAAAAATAAATGGGTACATATATGCGGTTTTCTATGTAAAGGCTCCAGCGGAAAATAGAACACTACTTTTGAAAATATCTATACTAATTAACGCTTACATGTTAAGTACTTAGTTTTACTAGCCTTAGCTTTAAAAAAAATGCAAAGTTGGTGTTAAGTTAGGAAACATAATCCACCCGGGGGAGAAGCCAACTCCTACCGGGCGCGTCCCCAGGTGGCGGATAGGGGAATGCCACCCGCTTAGGGCGGCGGGTGGTACCGGAGAAATCCGGCGCGGACCAAATGGCTTGGGTGGGGCCGCTCGTCTAGGCCTCGAGCCGAAGACGTTGCGGCCACCGGTGGTGGGACCGTTTGGTCCCACAACCGGATGATGGGTGCCGGTTGCGGGACTGTGGTCGCAGGCCCGCATCTGGCGGAGGAGTAGGCCGCGGCAGGAGAGGAGTGCCGGTATTTCGGTGCGCCGTTCTCCCTACCTTCCGCGGCCTAGACGGGGCCGCCACCGTTTGATGGCGGACGCGGTGGGGCTGCAGGGGAAGAGGAGTGTCGGTGTGTCGTTGCCGCTCTCCCTGTCCTCTGCAGCCGATTGGAGGTGGCCCACTTCGGTGGGCGGAGGTTAGGTTTAATGGGGCTGCTCCGGGTACCTCTCTGGCGTAGCAGAGTTGACTGTGGAGCAGCCCCATTGGTTTGGTGGTCTGCCTTTTTAGGCAGACCTGCCGCCGGGGCGCCGTAGTAGTTATGCGCAAGCGATCCTGCGGCGTCCCATTAAGGCGGAGGGGAGGGGAATGTCGGGTTTTAGTGGGTAGTACCGGCTCTTCTAGCCGGTGAGCCCCACATCACCACCTGGGGGATCAGGTGGTATGCGTAAATGCATTTCCCGACATAAAAAAAAAAAAAAAAAAAAAAAGGAAACATAATCCAAGGCCCATAAAAAATCTGTTTCAATCTAATTTGTTATTTAAATGACGTCACACATCCATAATATAAATAAACTCACAGCATTAAGGTGTTTGATGACATCTCTACTCAGCTTATCGAACATGGCACGGACGACCAGCTCGATGATCTTGTAGAAGTGGAATGCGCTGAGGCCGTATATCTGCAGCACGCAGGGGAAACGTAGCGAGTTGACTCGGAACGCCTGCAGCACCACCTCCGTGCAGCACGCGTACACTGTCAGCTGGTACGTTTCTTGTGATAGTAAAACCTGGAATTGTATTCGTTTTTATAGTAATTTTACAAAAGACATAATAAATTAGAGAGTCTTTAATGTAAAAATAATAGCTTTTTGCTAAATCCATATGAAAGTATATACGGTACTTTCAAGTTTTTTTTTTTAATTTTATGTCTGTTTGTTCATAATAAGCTTCCGTGAAAAAAATTATATGAAAATGTGAACAAAATCTGCGTACCTAAAGAATAGGGACGCACCCGAGTGGAGCGAGAATAAGTCGCTAGCTCGAAAATAAATAATCAATCAATTCAGATGTGTGTTCTACTTGTGTAAGTGCGCGACATCTTTGCTAATTATTGTGGGACAGGTTTCATGAATATTTTTTTTTAGTAAAGAAGAACTAAAAAAATGAAGTTAATTTCTACTTCAAATTTAGCCTCATATATTTAAAAAAAAACGTGTGTGTGTACTTATGTACGCACGTAAGAAGTTATATTTCTTTGGCGTAACAGAACAAAAAAGCTAAAAGCTAAAGATTTCATATCATAAGTCACAACTCTGTTAGTAAAAGGAACAAGTATCGTAAAAATTTTACTCTCATAATTTTTTTTTAAACGTGCCAAAAGAAGCATAAATTCAAAAAATGCACATCTAAGGTTGTAAATAAGTATAATCACTTTTAACAAACTGAAATGAAAATTACATCTAAAGTCATCATTCATAAATCAAATAATAAAATCATTGAAGGTTGAACAAATATTAATGGATTTAGGAAATAATAAATAATCAATAATTTAGCCTAATTCAACATCCCACTCCTGGTCGGGGAGCTCCTGTATTTCTCTTTACACAAATTATTGTTATTACCACATACTTGACAAAGTCTATCACACTGGGAAATCATTTATTCGGTTCGCAGACTTGACAGTCTTTCGAAATCTAGTTGGGTTCTCTCAGACATACAGGTTTCTTATACCGTAAGACTAGTAGCAATCATGTTAAAGATGAGTCAAACATTAAAAAATCCAGTAGTACAAAACCTGGGGTTTGAAATTGCCAGAAGTAATGCACTTGCTTGGGTCTTACAAACAAGTGTATTACTTTTGGCCACCACTTTAAAGAAATATAAAATATGAATCAAAACTTACTTGTAAAGATAGTTGAGGCTTTTTCCTATGTTCCTCTCTGATGATGTGTTCGAACACTTTATAATATAAACAAGTGACCATATTGCACCTACAAGCAATAGTTTCATTACTGCAGTTATTTTCTCTTAGGTATCTAGAGAACTGTTCCATCCATCCATTACAGGGTTGTATCACCTTTGTATTTATTGTCTCTTCACTTACGCCACAGTCACTGAAATTTTTTAATAAGTATAAAATCGACATTTTTAAATTACCTTACTATAACGGTTAGTATGAAACAGATATACTATTATATACTAGCAGAACCCGCGGCTTTGCCCGTGTTCAATCTACAAAAAAACTTTTTGGCTTTATATTATACAACGGTTCACCCTCGCTTCGCTTGGGTTCGTCGCTATGTATTTATTAATATTGTTCATACACAAATACTGTTACATATATTGTTCCCTCACAGTTTCGTCCTATCTCAATTCTTCCCATTTTATCGAAAGTTTTTGAGGGCTTAGTATCTAAGCAGATGTGTCAGTACTTATTACGAAATAACCTATTAAATGCTTTTCAGTCTGGCTTCCGTCCTTCGCACAGTACGACTTCTGCTTTGCTAAAAGTCACTGACGATATTCGTTTCGCCATGGATAATAAGAAAGTGACTATTCTTATTTTGCTTGATTTTAGTAATGCCTTCAACTCAGTGGACTTCGATGTTTTACTTTCTATCCTTGCCTCTCTTAACTTCTCGTCTTCTGTGATTGATTGGTTTAAATCATATCTTTATTATCGCCAGCAGAGAATCTACTGCGACGAGACTATCTCAGAATGGTCCCTCAGGGTGGTGTGTTATCGCCATGGCTTTTTTCAATTTTCATTCACCAACTCCCACAGGTACTCTCTTCTAACTACCACCTATATGCGGATGATCTGCAACTTTATAGACATGCTTTAGTCGGGGACTTAGCGTCTGAAATAGACAGGATAAACCTTGCTTTGGCAAGAATCAAAGATTGGGCAAAGTCTTTCAGACTCCTTGTCAAACAAATAAAGTCTCAGGCCATGATCATTGGTAGTAAGCAGTTGCGAAACAAAATTGATTTCAACAATCTGCCTGTCATCATTTACGATAGCACTTGTATTAATATATCAGACACGTGTAAAAACTTAGGTTTAACAATCGACTGCAACCTGTCCTGGGCTGCGCATGTCAACGAGGTCAGTAAGCGCGTACATTATTCACTTCATTCCTTGAAACGTTTACAGAATTTTCTACTGTTTCAAACTAAAATTACTCTGGCTCAATCACTGCTAATCCCTCTACTCGAATATGCCGACGTTTGCTATCTAGATGCAACCGAGGAGCTACTCGACAAGCTAGATCGCCTATTTTATATATGGATTGCACAAATTTGATCATATAAGTATTTCCGACGGCAACTGAAAGTGGCCCCCTATTCGTTTTCGCCGAAACGTTCGTGTATTATGTGTGCTTCACAATATTTTGAAGACTTTTACACCTTCTTATTTAAGTGAACGCTTCACATTAGTGTCCCCTAGATGCAGACCAGTGCGTTCTTGTGTCAATTTGTCCAAATTAGTGGTTCCTCACTACAATACAACATTCTATAAAAAATCTTTTTCTGTTATGGCAGCAAGATTGTGGAATTCACTGCCTGATTATATTTTCAAAGATGATCCCTCATTCACAACATTTAAATTTAGAATTAAACAGTATTATTTATCAAATCAGACATAAATTATTGTAGATTAGTCTGTATGTATAATGTAAGTAATATGTATGTGTATATATATATATAGATATATATATATATATATATATATATATATATATATATATATTTGTATAATCATAATATTTAGTTAATATATGCATTTTAATATTAAGTCAATTCCATTTAATGCTGTACTGTACCTACACCGCACTATATTAACTTATTTTCTCACTTCTGAAGGGTTTCTGGAAGAAATCTCTTAAAGAGATAAGTTATCCTTTGTCAACATTTTGTTATTTTATTTTGTATAACATATATTTTATGGTACATAAATAAATAAATAAAAAATACTAAAATCGCGATTAAAAAATGGGGGTGGAAATTTCATTAGATATTACTCAAGTGTACTAACACGAAGAAGCGCACGAGGTGCGGCGAGGGCGCGGCGCGCGCGTGCCGCAGCAGCGCCGCCAGCCGCGCCACGCTGTTGGTGGCGGCCGACACCGGCGTGAGCTCCTCGCGCCGCGCCAGGTAGTGCCGCCCCGTCAGCGGCGTGTCGGGGCACGCGCGGCCGCTCTGGAACATCACCACCCACATACATTACTATTTTTTGATTATGGCAACAATTATATTAAAAATTAAAATAATATAAAATCTGTTGTTATGGCAACACATAATTTGAGCCGGTAAAATAGGTGCATGTAAATGTTAATTAGTTTTGATTAAAATAAATAAGTATCTCATTATTAGGTACTTTTATTTTCTCCCACCATCGACCGAAACTGCTGCCTTTTTGAAGTGAAACTTCTTTAGAATCGTTGTGATTTGAAACTCGATGAAACGGTAATGCGACACAAGAGGGAGACGAACACATACATAAGACTGGCGATTCGCTCAGGTTCGTCGTAGGTACGTTTTGACGCTTAATTTAGAATAGTTTTTTTTTCTTCAAATTTTTTTTCGAGTCGGCGAGAGAATGAGATAGAATATATGATTAGTTGTTGCCATGGTAACGGTTGTTATTTGTCTGACGAATGACTTATAATATTTTCCGTATATGATATTCTATAACTATATGATTGTAACATGCCTAATATCCTTTATTTAATTATTGATTTGTTTTAATTTAATTACGATATTTGCCAAAGAAGTTTTATTTCAACCGCACGTAAAGGTTACACGCACCCATTTTTTTTAAACAAATATGTAAACACTACAGAGTACAGACTTTGAGTTTTAGTTTTATTTTTTAATAGCGACTTACCCTTACCTACGGTTCGCTTAGGCCGGTACGCGGATTTGGTTCATAATTTCATGGGTTTTAATTTTTTGTGTGTGGAACCCTAGTTCTTCTTCCAAAATAAAAACTAAGCTATTCCTCATAATATCAGTTATCTGCAAGTGCGTCCCGTTAAAATCGGTCCAGCCGTTACCGAGATTAGCCAGAACAGACAGACAGACAAAAATTTTAAAAATGGTTTTTTCTTTTCTTATACATACAGTATATACTTTGATATGCATTTAGTCGAAAGTTGGTATTTTAAAATTACAAACAGACACTTTAATTTTATTTATTTATATAGATTTATTTATATATAAATACCTACATGTTTAAAAGTAATGTTCATTATAAGTATGACAAATTTTAGTTATTATTCCTTTAATATTTTATTAAAAGATAGTTTATAAAAATAAGTACTCACTGGGCCAAAAGATTCAATAACTTGTGATATTTCATCTCCAGAAACTTTATTTTTAGTTCCAATTTGTTCATTCGCATGTTCACCTAAAATATAATAACAATGTCATACATTGAGTGTTAAAAATAATTATTTAATTCATACATATTTTATACAAACTTTTATTTTTATCAAAGCACAATAAAATATCATAAAAATATTTAAAACTAGACATTTTCAATATTAATTATGAATCCAGTGACAATTCAGTATTTTCGTCAGATAATTGTCAAAAAAATGACATTTATTAGTGGCCAGCAATTTAATAATATAAATGAAATCTCTTTGAAAAAGGAACTTACCTAAAAATATCCTTTCATCGAATTCACCAACACTGAGCACATATGTTTCATAAAGATTGTTCAATGATTTGAGATTGACATCAAAGTTCCCAATATCTAATACACCTGTGAGCTCATCACTACTACCTTTTAAAATCTAAAAAAAGATTTATATAAGTTAAAAAATTATTACAATGTAACATTTTACTATTAGTTGTTATGATGATTGTATTCCCACTGCTGGGCTTGGGCCAACTTTCAATGCGAGGGGGATCAGGTCATAGTCAACCATGTTGACTGAGTTCGGGTTGGTGGACTTTGTGTCTTTTGAAAACTTGCTAGTTTCTCTCAGACATGCAGGTTTCCTCGCGATGTTTTCCTTCATCATTAAGACAAGCGGTAATCATGTTGAAAATAATTCACACACAAAAATATAGGAGGTGCGAGACGTTTCACTTGGTTACTCAAGTATGTAACCACTGGGATACCACTGATTATAATGATATTTAATAATATTGATATATAAAAATTTCTTTACCTTTATGTCTGAAGAAATAAGTTTTAATGACAAAGTAATATTATAATAAATGCCATAGTGTTACTTTTCCATATTGTATACCCAACAGATTTAAGTAAAATATGGTATAAAATGGTATGGCAGTAAAGATAACATAATATCATGAATGACCGCATGGCTTACACTTTGTAGTATAAATCTAGTATGGGTGAAAGGTAATAAGGACCAACTATAAGATAAAATTACGATTATTTACAAATGTATTGGTTAACTTACTGATTTTTCAAAAAAAGTTTTTATAACTGGTTTCCAACTGTACTCTTTCATAGTGCCAGCTTCAACTGCTAAGCCCTCCATGATTTCACATAATATTGATATAATACAAGGTGGTTTTTTAGGTAATTCAAAATCATGCTTTAGCCAATCGGCAGGCAAACCTGGAATATTTAAGTTATAATAGCTTCTTTGATTTAAGCAATGAAACAATGACAACTATTGTAACTAATTTTATATAACAATATTAGCGTGACAAAAAAATAATTTAAATTTATGTATTTTAATGTAAATGAAAAAGGCAAAATAAAAAATTTGTCTCATTGATTAATTTATTACTATATTACATTGTGAATTACCTTTGAAAGATGGATTGATCAAGTCAATTCGTTTTGCCATAAAAGCATTAGCAAAAACAAAGTCAAGACATGATAGCAAAACATGGTACATATCTACCAAATCATGAGCGGAATTATGAAACTCTCCTTTCACACATACATATAAACACCAAGTAAACTCAAACAGTGCATTGGTTGTACATGGATGTAATCTGTAAATAATGATTATTCATTTACTAATGTAAGGGCTAGTGCTATTACAATTATTATAGGAAATTTAAATACTATGGTATGGTATGGTATGTTCGGGCTGTTTTCCGCAACTCGACGACTATGCGCCTATTTTGCGAAATACTATTATTTAATATTAGCTCCACGACAGTGGACACGCCGGCGTTACAGTTAACAATAGGTTTCTTTGAAATTTACCTAGAGGTGTTATTAGTAATATTTATTTAAATATTTAGTTCTAAGACATAAATTTAGTACTAACAACTCAGCCTCACTTCAATCGGGTTCATCCCTACATATATTTTCACAGTTAGTATGGTATAGATACACTATATATTATATGATATACAGCCTATAGTCTTCCTCAATAAATGGGCTATCTATGAAAAAAATTTTTTAATTGCATTAGTAGTTCCTGGGATTAGCAAGTTCAAACAAACTCTGCCTCTATATAATATTATTAGTATAAATAGTCCATCTGAACCACCTCATCTGCTCATAGCTTGAAAGACTGATCGCAAGATTTAACTAAAAAAAAGTATAATATAAAAGTATATAAAATATATTCATGGTGAACCAGTACTCTTTTGAAATTTCTAAGAAATTAGATATGCAATGCCTTTGATTCTTTCTATCATCATGTCTTTCTCAATCTCATCTGAACTTCAATACCCTACTAGATCATATTATGATCTAGTAGGATATTAAAGCTTATGTATAAATATAAAACAAATATTTACTTACTTATGCTTTTTACTTTTTGTATTTGTTTTAACTGGTTCACTAGTCAACCCAGAAAATATTTCCTGAAAAATTGGTTGAAATTTTCGAAATAATACAGTTGAAACTGCAAATTTATGTTCTAACCTAGTTATTCTGTCTTTAAAATCAGTTGACATAAGAGCCATTTCCATCCATTTCTTAATTTTATTGAAAAATTGTATAAGGCTGTAAAGAAATTGTACCATATGTGATTTGTACTATAAAAATATTAAGACTTCATCTACTTTAATATCTATAATTGTTTCTGATATTACCTTATATTACTTAGTCTGAGAAGCCTCGTAAGGCTAACACAGTTTCCCTCTACAGCCTTTCCCGATTGCACAGTAGGAGTAATTGAAGTACGACATGCTACATATAAAGCACATGCCATCCAATGTAACATATCTCCCTAAAATTAACAGGGAATAAATTGTAAATCGCATCAATGAAAAGTTTACATAAGTAAATATTATCGATGTTTATTTTACTTTGCAGGTTGAAAGAATACTGAAAAAAAAGATACTAATAATAATTTAGAAGACCCAGTTTTCAGTATTGTATGAACTTACGTCTAATGTATAGTTTCTTTTTATTTGTGAAAAAGATAGTTTTGATGATTGCGCAGCCAAAGGGTCTACGTTTAGCTTCGAACACAGATTGTCCATTGCTGCAATCCAATTTTCTTCACTTTCTTCTTGTTTAGACATTTTTATGGATTATATTGGCAAAACTAATAATAATACGTGATTTCAAAAAAAACACTTTATACACATTAGACTTGAAAGTTATCCCGATTTTGATGAATTCTGACAGGTCTTTGGCGGGAAGAATACAATACATGTAACACCTTGGACCTCCCACACAAGCGCGCCCTCTTGACCAGTGCTACCAATACGAATTACAAACCACAGATATAGTACGACTATAGTGACAACTTCTAAGCATAGATGATTAATGGGGAAGATTTCCCGTAAGGAGGGCGCCACACGTATGGCCTATTTACATTCAATCTGAGGTTACGCAAGTTATTATGATATCTCTTTTGTACCTAATTTTTGCTTCTATAAAGTATAATTTATAGTGTTCCCACCTTACCTGAGTAATGTATTGTACCTGGAAGTTAGACTAGGTGAAGAAAGAATTGAGAAGGAGAGGTGTATCTAGGGTAACCAACCATACTGTTAAAAACAGTATGTTACTTTATTTAGCTCTAAAATACTTTTTACTGTTAAATTAAAAAAAATTATTCAAAATAGTGTTTTTATCATCGCTGGATCTGGAGCTACAAAAGGCTGTCATTCAACTGTGATGACCTTTGATCATTTTGAAAAAATAATTAAATTTTAATTAGTACAGACTCAATATTATTATATTTAATACAATTCTAAGTTGTTTATGAAAAATTATATAAGGAACAGTAGATATGAATATTTAATGGCCAAAAATGGAGTTATATATTGAGCACTTCACAAGAATATTTAAAAAATGACAACGAATTATTAAATTGTGCAAGCAGCTCAAAAATATGTTTTAAAAACTTGCAAAAAAATTATATACAGTTCATTTTTCTAAAATACTGTTTATTTTACCTCTTCAACCCTAATATGCTTTATTTCTTATACAAAAAGGTGGCAATCCTAGGTGTATCCTGCGGTGGTCATGAGTCCTGACTGACTGATTGATCAACACACAACCTAAGCCACTGGTCGTAGAAACGTGAATTTTGGATGACGTATTTCCTATATGATGTAGATCATCATCATCATCCGATAAGAAAGGATTTTTTGAAATTCATCCCCTAAGTGGGTAAAATAGGGCATTACAGATTGTAAGAAACTCTGCTATTCTTAATGTAAATACACAAAAAGTCGTGTTTAGCTTTAAAAAATAAGAAATATATTTATTTGCTTTCTTCGAAATTCATCCCTTAAAGGGGTAAAAAGGGGTAATAAAATTTATATGGGCAAAGAATTATTTATGATCAGGATTACTTGAAACTAGGTATTAATGCTCTTCAATACAATTAAATAAATACGTGTTTCAGCACTTTTTGAAATTCAATTTCATAAGGGGGAGTGAGGGGGGGGGGGTAAAATGGGGTGTGAGGGTTTGTATGAAAAAAGTAGAAAAAAATATAAAAAGATTTTTACCTGACGAATTAAGAGTTTTAAAATCACTTTGTTTAAAATGATGTCAACATAGACTTTAAATATAAAGATGGCCATCCACGTCATAGAGCTTTTTACAATATAGTGAGGATCATAGTGATCGCGACAATCTGGTAGGAGAAAAAGGCAAAATTCTTTCCTATTGTAAAAAGATCCTTCAAAATTGAAGTTTGCTTGGCTAGTGAGTACACAACATGGATGACAAATAAAAGTACACAACATTAAACAGCTTTGTAATTTCTTTTTTTTAATTTTCTACAATCTATGGTCTAAAATGTCACTTGACACTTAAGTTATTGATGAGTGCAAGGGCATGTGACATTTAATAATCAAAACAAAGTAAAATATTAAATAACCAAAAAATATCCTAAAGCACAAAAAAGGGCATTTATATAATTTTACAAACTAGTAATTTATACTTTAGTTTATCGTTTTATACTTACTTAGCTTTAATATCACCTTCTGACTTCTTCAATTATTTGCTCTTAGAATGTTTCGACGCCTTTATCATTGCTCGTGTGTGTTAAATAATAACAAAAAACAAGGCATTAAATTAAATAAAATGTTGAATCCAAGGAGTAAAAAGTGAGTAGACATCATAATAAATAATTTATAATAGTAATTTCAAAAACTATTTTGTTAAGTAAGTTTATCTAAATTAATATAATATGTGTTTTATATATTGCTATAGGCAGTGGTATCCTTCATCAACAGAAATGACTGGAATGCCCAGCATTAAGAGTTTGAGTAAAATAAAATATGAACCAGGAAAACGTGGGGTGCGGAGAGTGGCAGTGTTAAATAAGCTCTTTATGAAAAGTATTACAGATTTAATGTCAACTGGAACAGTATCTATGAAAATTATAGGTCGTGGACTAGAAATTTCTAAGGTATATAAGGTTGAGTTTTTTAAACCTATATAGATAAAATTAAATATTACTTTGTATGTTTTGTCTCTATGCAATTCTTAACCATTTATCTCATTCATCACCCAAGCAACATCATCAGCATCAAATATATCTTAATACTCAAACTCACATCATGCTTGCTACCAAAAAGAATGGAACAATATATGATTAAAATTATATTAATTTCCTAACATTTCCATTGTATTTGTAGGTACAAGTATCACCTGATTTTAAAACAGTTAATGTATTTTGGGTGTGCAAAGGAGACTTGTCTGATGGGGAAACAGAAACTCTCTTGCATTCAATTGCAGGGCCTCTTAGGCATGAACTATCAACACTTAGGCTTATTGGAGAAGTACCTTATATAGTTTTTGTTAAAGGTAGGACTAAATACTGAGTAGTAACTATATTTTTGTTATTTTTTCCATACATATTAATATTGATGCTATAAAAGTTTTTAGACAAATATGGATTTTCTGGTAATTTTAGATAGACAAGAAGCCATGTTAGTTGATATTGATAGACGTTTGGCTGTAGCAGATTATGGAGAAGATTTCACTCCTACAGAGTTGGGACATTTGTTGAAGACAGACTTTACATTAAATGTAAAGCTTTCACCAGAAATGAGGGTAACATAGTTTTTTTTATTATGTATATATATAATAATACTCTTCTATACAGATAAATAAAGTTGAAGTGTCTGTTTGTAATGTCAAAATAACAGCGTTTTACTAAATTATATATGGTACTTATATGAAAAACACATTTATATTTTAGTCTGTCTGTTTTTTCCGGATAAACTCTTAAACGGCTGGGCTGATTTTGACGGAACTTTCACTGGAAAATGATGTGTTATAGGGAGTAACATAGGCAACTTTTGTTTTAGAAAAAGAATTAGGGTTCCACTCAAAAAAATTAAAACGTACCTGGGGATGAACTCGAGCGAAGCGAGGGTGAGTCGCTAGTTTAATAATATGTATGAGAATCAAAAGGGCATGCAACAAAGGTTTTTCTTTCTCCTGTAACAAAATTTAAATAATAATTACAAAACTAAGTAAGAAGTCTATTAATGAAGAAATCAACTTGCTGAACTGTAACAAACCAGAGATATAGTGGACGCTATTCGTTTTTACAGATGTTATTTCAAAATAAATACTACTTTATTCTACTCCTCTAGATTGGCGTCATTGGCTGTACAGAGTGGGGCGCAAGAGCCAAGTGCTCGAAATATTAATAAATAAATAATAATATATAAATCTGTATAATGTCGGAAAAACGAGCTCACGTACTCTTGCGATATTTGAAACCGGTGCACACCTCTCGACAACCTTAGGCTGATGTTACGCCCGAGGCACTATGCCGCTTTGTGGGGACCCATCTAGTGAGAGACGAGTCGTCGTCCGCCAAATGTTCAATTTGTGACAGTTGAACAGCCATGAGCCAGACGTTTAGTAGTCTCATCTAATAGCCTAGTTTTTTAGCCAATCCAAAGTCTATTCCACTGACACTTTTAGTTAGTCTCCATAATCCCTACGCATTATTTATAAATATTTCTGAGCAATTTACTATAGGTTACTCAGAGATCCCTGGCTGATGCGTCACATTAAAAATTTAAATCTCTTATGGGACCTCTACGTGTTCGACCTGTGACCCCACGCAAGCTGTCCAAACTAGCGGGCTTATGGAGCCTGTGGCTTAAAGTGAAAAGAAAAAAGTATAAATATTGAAGGCGTTCTTATATTGTAATACCAAAAGGGAGCCACTTAAAGTACGCATTATAGTCACACCGTGTACAATCCAATGTTGTCCTTGGGAGTAGGGTTCCCTCTGGGTTTATAATAAAACTCCAGTGATTGGATTGTGGTTAACAATTTATTTTGTTCAATACCTTATATACATATCATCTTAACCAAACGATAACGCGTTTTAGATTACCCCCAATGCCATCTATTAAAAATATATGTACAAACATTTAACATTTAAATTTTGAATACAATAAAACGCGCTTTTATACTATGCCAGTGCTAACTTATCGTATAGAAACTTATACATACCGCCCACCATAAGGACATTTTGTCCTTATAAAGCATTGCTCACCATGAATGCTTTGAGAGAAAAAGCTACATTTATTTTGTAATTGGAAGAACACATAGTTTAGATGTTAGTCGTTTTAACATAACATTTTTGTTTGTTTTAATTGTGACTACTCTAACAATGCTATCCAAACCCGGATGAGTATCAATAATCTTTCTGTATACCCATTTACAAGGTGGTAAACCATCTTCTTTCACAACTACAATGTCACCAATGGAAGGTTGTGATGATTGTGTAGTCCACTTATATCTTTGAAGGAATTTAGTCAGGTATTCCTGAGACCATTTTCGCCAAAATTCCTGCAGCATTCGTTGGGTGTACTGCCACCTCCGAAGAGAACTTATGTGTTGGTGTTCATAGTTGTAATCAGGTGGAGTAACCAGCGATTTGCCTACTAAAAAATGAGCCGGTGTTAAGACTTCAAGCTCAGGATCACCAGAAATCACAGATAATGGCCTCGAATTTAAACAAGCTTCTATTTGAGCTAAAACCGTTGACATTTCCTCAAAGGTAAGTGTTGACTGCCCAATTACTCTCCTTAAGTGAAATTTGACTGATTTCACACCCGCTTCCCATAAACCACCGAAATTAGGCGAATGAGGGGGAGCGAATGAGGGGGAATAAAATGCCAATTCGTTCCATTTATGGCCGATGAATCAGCAACCTCCGAGAAGATCCCTGCAGCTTCAGCAGCGAATATTTTTTTTAGCTTTGCAGCTGCACCTGTAAAGCTAGTTCCATTGTCACTCCAGATATCTTGACAATGGCCTCTGCGAGCGACGAACCGCTTAAAGGCTTGCAAGAAACCCTGTGCTGTAAGGTCGCTAACAACCTCCAAATGTACGGCTCTTGTGGACATGCACACAAAAAGGCAGATGTAGCCTTTGTAAGCATTATAGCCTCGACCTTTTGAGGTTCTTATTTGAATTGGTCCAGCGTAATCCACTCCGCTGCGCTTGAAAGGTCGGCATGGCGTTACTCTAGCTGATGGAAGTTGGCCCATCAGTTGAAATTTGGTCAAAGCTGCATTTTTTACACAAGTGACGCATCTTCTTGTGGCCGCCTTTACAAGACGAATTCTAGATTTCTTTTAGCTTTAATTTTAATGTATTCCATCTTTATTCAGCTACTTCCTTAGAAGAACTGAACATGCAATCTGGGTTTTCCGTCCTGAAAGGTAAGCGAACTATATATCTACCGTCTTCATCTCTTTCAGTAGTACGAGCAAATAGTTCTTCGCAAACTTGTTCTTCATGTGTCATTCTTTGTTGCTTTGTTAGTTCCAGGTCAGATTCGAGTTCCCAAAATTGTTTTAGCGTGTCGTTGTCGTCAGTTCGACAATGAAAAGTATTAAACTCCGTATGATTTTCCTCCCTGGTTGATGTAGTTACTTCACCCGAGACAATCCATCCAAACGATGTGTTCTGGACTACCGGTGAATACCGGTCCCTTTTTAATACCCTCCTGAATTATCTTGACATAAACTTACGCACCTAACAAAACGTCTATTTTGTTTGGAGTGCGATAATTCGGATCTGCTAATTCTATTTCAAGAGCTTCAAGCCATTCCAATGCAGTTATTCTCTTGGCTGGAAGAAAACTAGTGATTGTTTTCAAAACATAAGCCTTTACAGTGATATTATAATTTGGATCAATCATTGACTTAAGTTGAATAAAGACCATTGCTTTTGGTGACACATTACTATTACCCCCTAAAACTGAAACTTGTTCCCTTATAGGAATTTTCTTTAGTCCCAGATATTGGACTGTCGCTTCAGTTACGAATGACGTCTGTGACCCCTGATCTAACAACGCTCGAATTATATAATGTTCTCCCGTTTTCGACGCGGCCTTGACTAACGCAGTGGCTAGCAACACCTGATTTCGAACTAGTCCTGTCGAAAAGAACGTTGCTAAAGGAGTTGACTCCATCTCGTTGTTTGATTCTGAACCAATGTTACCATTATTATTTTTAGTTGTTTCAGCGTTGGCTCCAGAAATACCTGAACTTGGTGGATGTAATAGCGAGTGATGATGACGTTTGCAAATACGGCATTTGTTTGAACTTTGGCAGGATTTGGCAGAGTGATTATTACCTAAGCAGTTGAAACATATGTTATGGGTTTGGACAAAATTGCGTCGAGCGTCTACAGTTTCATTAGAAAAACGCTTACAATGTATAATCCTATGATCCTCAGAACAAAATGCACATTGAATCTTATTAGCTGAAGCCACAAAAGTTTTAAATTTATTTACATTATTATTATATTGAGAATTTTTGGTTACAAATGTTTGGTTTAGCTGATTTGGTGTCCAAGAACTCTAAGGCTCGATAACGATTTGTAAGGAATTCAGAAAATTGGTTAAAGGTTGGTAGTTCTTCAGATGAATTATTATTTGTTACAGAAAATTCCCACTGTTTCCTGGACTCCGAATCGAGCTTTAAGGTAAGTATATAAATAATAATAATATCCCAAGTGCTTACATTTATACCTAAATTGGTTAATGAACTTAAACAATCATTAGTTGTATCAATAAGATTTTTTAAACAATTAGCTGACTCAGAAGTAATGTTTCTTTGACTTAATAAACGTTTTAAAATAAAATGTGACAAATATCTTTTATTATTATATCTAGAATTAAGTAGTGACCAACACCTTTCATAATTTGAATCTGCTATGGGTATCTGTCTGAGCAGCTGTTCGGCCTCACCAGATAAATAACCTTTTAGATAATGCATCTTTTGGACATTGTCTAGTTCTTTATTAGTGTATACAAGCGATACAAATAAATCCCTAAAAGTGGTCCATTCAGCATATTGACCATTGAATGTTGGAATAACTACGGGGTAATTTAATGTTAGATGAATTAGCATTATTTACACTTGAAACTGAATCCTTACTTGAACGATCAAATGAGGCATGTGTTTGTTTTAATTCAATCATATGATCGATATACAATTCTTCCACACTTCCCGCTACATCCTCTTTAAAATAGTTATTGTGAAAACCTTGAGATAACTTAATTATATGATTATGGTTATCACTAAACTGAGACCATAATTGGTTTAGAGTTTCCATTCGGATCTCTACATACTGAACAGTTATGCGATCCTTAGGAGACTTTTTGTAATTTATCCGCGCTTTATGCATACGATCATATAAATTTATTTGGACTTTAATTAAACTATCCATTATAATTGAATTTCTAATATTTCACCTCAAGTACAAAGTTTCAAATTTTACAAGTCTTTTTTTTTATAATTTAATTTAGCTCTTATTCTAAATTACACTAAATGTTAAAACTACGAAAATGTTCTAAGTCCAAATTTCTTCACTAGTAATATTTACTAAGTTAAATCACTCCTAGCAATAAAGTTCAATTTCACTAATATAGTTTCTTTAAAGAATTGAGTTAAATCACCAATTGACTTAAAGTTCAATTTTGTTAGATTATTTTTCCACTACTTATAACTTTGAAACACTTACAGTTTCTTGTTGATCACCTCAATGGACTGTATACTGACCGACTGTCCCACGTGACGCGTCTAGTGCTCCGCGCCTTCCCTTGCACCAACAATTGTCCTCTCCTGACAGGCGCTTTCTCCAGGCACCGTATGCAGTGGCGAGTTGCACCCTTGCAACTTAGCTGCTGCTGAAGTTCGACCAGTTCGCACAAGCGATCCGGCCAAAGTGATGTGATGGCGTAGAGTCTTCCGACGATTCGCTGATCCGACTCTTGAAGCACCAAATGTACAATCCAATCACTGGAGTTTTATTATAAACCCAGAGGGAACCCTACTCCCAAGGACAACATTGGGTTGTACACACCGAATGCGAAGCTGTTACAATAAAGTAAAAACGATAATAATTTTAAAAAGTTTTTATATGACTTATTATCATCATATATGTATTGGTTTTAGGCAAAAATAAAGCAGTTAGAAGAAGAACAACCAATAATAGACGATCCTATACCAGAAATGACGCATAATGTCTTTGGCTTGGATCATGCGAAGATAATGAATAGATTGTTAGCTGCGAGGAAAAAGACTCGTGATGCTTGGGACAATCTAAATGCCGATACAGTAATAACTTATAGGGCAACTGAGGGTAGCAAACCGAGACCATCCACAGATGTGGGAACGCAGAAGAGAGATTTGGCAGAATTCTTATTAAAAAGACAGGTAAGATAAAGTTTTAATTATAAGTCTTTAAACTTTCATGGTCATTGACAATATTATTATGATGTAAAACGCATTTGTGGTGAGTTCCCGATATTTAGGCACTGTTACAAGCGCCATGGTCACGGTCATGGGTGTACACTACATTATAAAGTAAGTGCTAAACATGGTAAATTTCCTATTCCCATCATAATAATAAATATTTCATTTTTGCATTTAAAAATACTTTCTTAGATTTACGCGATTTTCGTTTTGTTTTTTATTTGCTATTTATTCTTTTACAATTTTTATTAGTGAAGTTTAAAGTTGAAGAATTTTGTTAAAATTGTCCGTTTAATTTAGTAATTATATAAGTAATTATAGAGTATGAAAAGATTAATCTGATTAATGAACACATTTTTTTTGTCTTATTCCGATATTAGTAATTGGAAATGCAAACAAATATACGAGTACGTGTACGGTATCTATAATAACCTTTTATTTATTTGTTCATATGTAAGTATAGAACCGATGCTCTTTTATTTTATCTATGTGTAAAAAGCCATGCATATAATCGTATTACAACTTGTGAAGCAATGATAAGAGGATTCACAGTTAAGTATGTAATATTCTTAAGGTAAACTACTTATTTACTATTTGTTTCAATTTTACGTGGTTTAAATATAACCTATTAACAATATAAAAGAGATTTTTTTATAAATTAACTATCGATTATAATAATTAAACATTTGTCAAGTTGTCTTCATTTTAATTTATATTTTTCTCGACAAGCCGCGTTTATGGTTGACCCAAATTCTTATGCAATCGTAGAATGAATTGTGAAAAAACGAGGTCTAGTTTTCCCATTTCTGAGTCCACTGAAACATGAAACGTTTGCCATAATGTTAAATAAGCATAAATGTGAATTTCAATTCATTCAATTCATTAAATTTCAATGAAATTTATATTTATTTTAACTTTTGTTAATATTATAATTTAATTCAGTGTCTTTAAAAATGCTCATACAATGCCTTAACCGCATTATTATAATATACTGTGAATAGAATATCTAAATTATGTACTTAAAATAACAATATTTATATTATATTTAAGTTTTTTTTAATTTTGATCCTAGCTTTTGCACGCGATTCTGCTCGCGTATCGGTTCATTTATGTATAAGACCCTACTAATTCCGCTCCAAAAGGTCGCAGCGAAATCTTAGATAGCCTTATAACCTTTCAATAAATATAATGCTCATAATTATAAATAAACTATAAAATACAAAATAAATAAGTAAGTACATAGTAGTTTCAGAGATTGTCACGTTCAAATAAACAAACAAACTATTTATCTATACATATAATAAAATTGTAACTAAGCCGAATCTGTACATTAAATATTTTTTGGAAAATCTTATTGAAATAGACTTTATTATCGATACAGAGGCCGAATCTATAGTTTTTAGAATTTTTGTCTGTCTGTCTGTTACTGCATTACAAAAGGACCACTGGAGGGATTTAGATGAAATTTGGTATGGAGATAGCTGGTTATCCGGGTCAACGTGTAGGATACTTTTTACCGCGGAAAAGTGTCTCATTTCTGAGAAAAAATACAGAAAACTGCAATGTAAGAGTATAATAATATGTAAAACCTAAGAATTTGGTTTTTGGTCACCTGAACGCGGGCAATGTTAGTCATTAATAAATTACTATACATATCATTTAGCGATGAGTTACAATAAGACGAGTTATCTAAAAGTTCTAGTACATTTCATACTTTTAAGTACATTTTAGATACTCGTGTCTTTTATCATTACATTTATATTCGATTGTCTTCTTTTTGCTTTCAGCATGTGCCCTTTATATTTAAAAAAATATATTAATATCGCAAGATGTGTTGTTATATGTCCGACCCTTTAACTATTCTATTATCGATCATATCATAAATGTACTGATTTCTATTACGATTGACTCAGTTTATGGCACTCAAGGGCCTGAATTATTCAATAACTATAAGCGAAATATGTAGTATTAATACATTGTGTGAGTGCGCGAATGAGTCAGTTTGTTTTGTTTGTATATTGTTTTATTTCAATGTTTACATGTAGCAGTTCTTTATGATTATCAAGTTTATTGCACTTTTAGCCCTCAACATAATTTGCGCACTCGATACAAATACAATACAAATCTATAAATATAATAAAATTGTAACTAAGCCGAATCTGTACATTAAATATTTTTTGGGAAATCTTATTGAAATAAACATTATTATCGATACAGAGGCCAAAATTATGGTTTTTAGAATTTTTGTCTGTCTGTCCGTCCGTTCGTCCGTCCGTCCGTCCGTCCGTCCGTCTGTTACCGCATCACAGAAAAAACCACTGGAGGGATTTTGATGATATTTGGTATAGTAATAGCTGGTTATCTGGGTCAACATATAGGATACTTTTTAGCCTGGAAAAATATCTCATTTCTGAGAAAAAATACAAAAACTGCATTGTAAAAGTATACTAGTAGTAATCTAGTGACTAAATTTTAGCCATTTCTCTGATGAAATATTTGGCAATTGTCGCTAGTTTACGCCATTTTTTTTCTTAAATTGTGCATTTATATATCTAGTGTATACTCAATTTAAAGACACATTAAATTTACTTCAGTGACTTTATGACAACAGTTATGGCGTAGTGGATTATGTTTCTGAGACTGTATCATACAAGTACTGCGACAGTCGCGTCCTTTATTCCCGCACAGGACAAAATTATTATATTGATTTTATAGATATCTTTTTGTACATAGCTTTATGTTTGTCTCGGGATCGTTTAAAATATTAAATTGGAACAATTAAAGGTTTTACTTGCGCTATTTGAAATATTGCACATTTACATATATTTTATTATAGCTTGATTCCCCATACAAACTTTCATCCCCATTTTCACCCCTTTAAGGAATGATTTCCGGGATAAAAAGTATCCTATGTCCTCCCCAAATCCCAGGGTCTCAAACTATCTTTTTACCAAATTTCATCTAATTCGGTTCAGGAGATCTAGAGATTACCCCCTACAACGTCACAAACTGACAAACTTTACCTCATTATAATAATAGTATAGATAAATATTAATGCCTGCCTGATATAATAAGTAATAAAAAAGTAATGGATTTACTGTCTTAACTCTAGTTAGTCTTTTCCGATGTTTTTTTTTAATAAATCGGTGATTCATGAAAGTATCGCCAATGAACTGTAATTTAAATGTTATTTTCAGATTTTACAAAACAAGTTGCATAAGGAAATGCGGGACGATCGCAAAACTTTAAACGAAGTATATGCTGAAGAAAAAGTCCATGAGGAGGAAATATATGATGAAGATTACGAAGAAGATTTACACGAACCTTTTTATAATGATGATCTAGACTTAGAAAAGACAAGAAGTAAATAGCCATAAATATCCTTGTAAATTTTTTGTAAGTGTAATTTTATTAAATATTATTTATATGAAAATGTTTTGTTTTATTGCCTTCATCATACACTAAACACCTATTCAATTTTGATTATAATTTTTAGTACGTCCCATGACGTAAGTAAATCGTAAATGATTACGAAGGTTATAAATAAATTCAATCACAAAAGTCGCCAAATGTAATTTAAAATAGAATTTTTGTTTTTATGAAATAAAACTATTAGTCGAGTGCAGTTAGGTTTGTTTACATCTCGAAATCCAGCTATAATGAATTGATTTGGCTGATTTTGGATTTTTTGAATTTCTTATACATACATACTAAAAACTAAAAACCTTTTGAAATCTTGCGCTAATGTAGTTTTTTAAAGGTTGTCCTATGAAAATGATGCTACTTCTAGTATAGTACATTCCTTTTATCCATATATTTATTTTTTCTTTCGAGAATAAGTCAGTTTCCATATTAAAATATAGTGACTTACTCTCACTTCGCACGGGTGCGTCCTTAGTACGTTATAGATATGAATGTACATTGTTTTGATATATCTCATAAGGTTTAGCTAATGTTAGACATAATTTCTAAGAACAATTCGATCGAACCAGTTATTGTGTTTTCCCGTGAGTATGAAAGATTTTCCTGTAGTAAAAGGTATCCTAAATGTTGACCTGATTAATAAGTTATCACTACACAAAATTTAGTTAAAATCGGTTCAGTACTTTTTGCGTGAAACGCGCACAATGCACATCGATTTCGCTAAGTTATTGTTTTATTATATATATATATATATATATATATATATATATATATATATATATATATATATAAATAAATAAAAATAGGTATTGCGAGTGTACCTTAGGAGATAGACATATGCTGTTGTAGACTTTATTAGTACTTCGTTTTGGTAATCTCTCTTAAGTCTTAACGTTTAGCCAGCGTTAGCCAAATACGTTTCTAATAGGACGACTTGATAGAACCTTGTTAATTATAAAAAGTTTTTTATAAGAAATCTTGTTTATAAAACTTCATAAAATATAACAGTTATTGTTTTCTTAAAATAAATATTTCAAAAATCCGATAATTGATTTTTTTTGTGGAGATTTCTAGAAACTTTGTTTTTTTTTTTTATTTAACGGATTTTCAAAACAGGGGTAATTTTTATTGGGTAAACTTTTTAGTCTATGCTATTACGAAGTCAAAGAAAAAAACATTCAATTCCATTCATTATAACTGAGTTCCGTCATTTTTCATTTATAATTATTAATTGCACTCGAGTATAAAATTAATAAATGTAATAACCGTATAACGAAATATATTGTTGTGTGAATATACTATGGCGTTTCATATCACATCTATTTACATATTAAGATAAGAAGATGTCGGTATAAGTGGTAAATATTTAATAAATCAGGGTTCGCTTAAGCTTCGCACTTGACCTATTTTTCCAGGCCATTGGCTAGGGAGCCGACATGATCAAGGAGATGGTCATATTTTAAACATGAGGCATTTTTGAGAGTAATCTTACTAGCGTTAATATTTTAACTATTTGTACATATTGTGACATTAACACCTACTTAATGTGAGTACCTATATATTATATTTCTTCAAATAATATAAGGGTGTATATAAACTAATTTTAAAATTAAAAAAAAGTAAAACATTAAGAGGGCAAATTTTTTAGTATAAATCTATACATATAATAAAATTGTAACCAAGCCGAATCTGTACATTAGATATTTTTTGAAAAATCTTATTGAAATAAACATTATTATCGATACAGAGGCCGAATCTATGGTTTTTAGAATTTTTGTCTGCCTGTCTGTCTGTCTGTTACCCCATCACAGAAAAACCACTGGAGGGATTTTGATGAAATTCGGTATGGTGGTAGCTGGTTATCCGGGTCAACATATAGGACACTTTTGACTACGGGAAAATATCTCATTTCTGAGAAAAAATACAAAAACTGCAATGTAAGAGTATACTAATATGTAAAATCTAAGAATTTGGTTTTTGGTCATCTGAACGCGGGCGGAGCCGCGGGCAATGCTAGTTTTTTAATAAATCTTTTGAAAAACTAAATGCACTCATGAGTAATGGACATGAAATCTTACAAAAGCCTATCTGTATGATTTTTAGAATTCCATGAAAGGCAATGCACAACCTATCTTATCATATTATGTATTGTTATTGTGATATTAGAAAGAATTTAACAAAAAAGACTCCTGCTGGTCTCTTATTGCCAGTATAAAAAGTAAAAATATTATTTACTATGTCACAGACAGTACCTAGTACCTGCAGTACAACTTAAGGCTTTTATGAAGACTTAAATGTATACTTAAATGTATACTAGAACAGCGATGTTTTTAAATAAACAGTTCAGGGAAATTGCTGTCTAACTTCGTTCAGTTCTTACTTTATTCTAGTGTTTGTCCGAACTTTTCGTTTCTGCGCCCTGTTAGTTTCGGTTTAGTTTTAATTTTAGTTGAGTAGGTACCTACCAAAACTATGCCTGGAATGAAATAAATGTAGTTGTGAAATACGTAGGCTGCTAGGCACCTACCAAATTCACCGCATATACCTACTACTCTGTTCATGAGAAATACTACAACGGCTTGTGGTATTGGGACTTACAATACATATAATACTGTACAAGTCGAATTCCTAAACTTTTGTCCAAAAAACAATCAAAAAAAGATTATAAACCTTCTAAGTTCTACTACATTTTTGTCATTATAATACGTAGTACAATCGGTATGTCTGAAAAAGAATAGAAAGTCTGTAACAGCTATCGATTTTAGGTAACCAATGTTACAATGCGTTCGATGACACCGAACCCGTATCTCAATCAGACGGCAATTCAAATGGAATGAGACTATAATGTCGATCCAGTCAATAATCAGGAACAAATTGGGGGAATATATAAGGGAACATTCATAATAATTTTATCTACACTTAGAACTCATACAATTAATCGAGTAGTGTCTTCTTTAATATATGACTCACTAAAATAAACATAATATTCCTTACTATATTTTAATATTTAGGTATACCTATTGAATGAATGAAATAAATTTTATTCAATTAAATTTATTACAAGTACTTTTATTAATGCAGTACCTACGTCTGTTTATCCTTAAATTAACATTGAAAAAAAAAGAAAAATCAGTTTTCTGTGGCTTAAAATAAATTCTAACAGATTAATAGTTCATGTTTTATGCAAACTTCTGAGTTTGAAACAATCACACAAACACGCATTAAACAATTACAAATAAACTTAAATTATTATTAAAAAAAACAGTTAAACGGGTCAAAACATTGTATGTATAAAATAAAGTCGCTCGCGCTGTTTGTACGCTTAGATCTTTTAAACTACGCATCGGAATTTATTGCAGGTTTTAGCACTAGATAGAATGATTCAAGAGGAAGCTTCATATGTATACCTAATACATGCATAGTATATTTACACTAACCGTTGAAACTTACCTAGGGACGAACCCGAGCGAAGCGAGAGTGAGTTGCTAGTTAAATATATTTTAAAAAAACTTAGTGACTTACATACCCTTGCGATTTAAAGATTAAAGTAATAAAAATAGTTAAAAAATAAAAAATATAGGTACTTAAAATCAGGAACCACTATTCTGTTATAATTTTTTTTTTATTATATGTATATATTATATTCTTCCGTATTTGTATCGGATTTTGTTCATTTCATGGGTTTCGTTCCAAAATCGATCCAGCCGTTTCGGAGATTACAGAACAGAACAAACAGACAAAAATATATATTAAAAAAACGAACATTTTTTAAACTATAGGTGTTGTATATACTACAATAATATGTTATTATTATGTACCATCATATTATGCAATTCGCAAAAAGCTTTTATTTTGATACTAGCGGACCCGACAGACGTTGTCCTGTCTACACGTCTTTAATTTGAAAATTTCAAACTTTTTTTAATAATTTTTTTGATGAAAATTATTATTCAAATTGTGAATCTAAACCATTCCCAGATCCCCTTGAACACACACAAAAAATTTCATCAAAATCGGTCCAGTCGTTTGAGAGAAGTTCAGTGACATACACACTCACAGAAGAATTATATATATAAAGATTACAAACAGACACTTCAATTTTATTAAAATAAAAACCAAAATGCGTAAAAAACGAACTAAAAAGATAAAAACAAGTTGATAAAGGAACATGAAGTCGACTACTTACTAAAGTAGGTAGGTACTTATAATTTAATTATTTGTCCTTAGATTCTCTCCGAACCCTGTGCTCATCAAAATCGGTTAAGCCGTTCAGTAATTACGACGGAACATAGGATACATACATACAGCTCAAACTCATAACCCTCGTTTGGGCGTCGCCGCAGTCGGGTAAAAGGGTTAGCTCTTAATAATTATGATTGATGTATGTACACGTCATGTTTTTTAACATCCTTTTTCGTTATAAAATCATTTTCAATTATTTCATCTACGATTAAGTAGGTACTTGAATATCAATGTTCTAACTACTAATTAATACTTTATTATGACTGTTTGCATAAACTTTTATATTTACCAATCATGCACGCCGCTAACATTAATGCTAAATAGAATCAACATGACTCATTATGATTTTATTTCCAGTATGATATCTATACATATAATAAAATTATGAGTCGAATCTGTACATTAAATATTTTTTGGAAAATATTTTTGAAATAGTCATTAATTATTATATTTTATTATCGATACAGACGCCGAATCTATAGTTTTTTGAATTTTTGTCTGTCTGTCTGTGACCGCATCAGGAGAGAACCACTGGGCAGATTTTGATAAAATTTTGGTATGATGATAGCTGGTCATCCGGGTGAACATTATAGGATACTTTTTACTGCGGGCAAATTCTCATCTCCAAGAATCCATACTAAACGTTAAAACGTAACTAGTTAAATAATAAAAAAAAAATAGTTTATTATAATATAGGTACAGTTACCCCAACTGGCTATTATTATAAGCAAAACCTGTTATAATGCTGAACAAGTTGCAAGATATCCATTTATCCGAGTACGGATAGGAAACATCTAAAAATTATGAGTGATTTTAGTTAGTTAGTTAGTTAGTTAGTTAGTAAGCGGGGATCGGTTCATTAACCATTGTGAAAACATATTCTACTGTATAATATACTATTTTGATTCATTAGCTACAATATTTACAGTATTTCGTTGGCAAATCACGTCGCGACGGGGGTAGTTCTTAGGTTTTAGGCATTTAACGGCGAAGCTCTTATGGGTTTTATATCGACCATGGAGTAATAAAGTTAATCCAGGTTCTGTGTAGTGCAATATCGAGCGGGGTCGGCCGAGAGGGACGCGGGACGGAGGCTCGGGCGGCGGCGGCCACCTGTTCGCACCCCGCCCCCCGCTCGCCCCCCGCGGTGACTGCCACCCCGGGCTCCGCTGCGCGCGCTAGCCCTTCCCTCCACTCATTCGTTTCGCGACGCGTCGTCTCGCCGGCCGGCTTCCGACTCATTCGACCGGGCTCATTCGCATCGCGTCCGCTTACCTTATCACTCGATCGTCCATTCCACAAATCAGTCATGACGGAGAGCACGGAAACCCCAGCAGCTGCGGCACCCGAGAAGACCCCCACTGAGAATGGGACTACTGAGACCCCTCCCGAAGAAACCCCGGAGAAAGCTACTGAGGAAAAAGAAAAGGAGACTCCGCCGCCCAAGGAGATGCGCGCAGTCGTTCTTACTGGATTCGGGGGTCTCAAAACTGTCAAGATATTGAAGAAACCTGAACCCACTGTAGCTGAGGGCGAGGTCCTGATTCGCGTCAAAGCATGGTAAGTTTTTAATGTTTTTTTTTCTAGTTATTGAACGAAGTGAAAGAATAAAGAGGTTAACATTAAAAAATGTATACGGCAATTAATTAGGATTCGATTTGAAGAATTAATATTTAATTAAAGCGGGTAGACTTATCGTACCTACATTTTTCTATTGAAAATTTTGATATTTTATAAAAACATTAATTTTATTAAAAAATTCGGATATTTTACATCGTTCGTTCAAAAATTGAAGTAAATCTCGATTAGTGTTATATGTTCACGGCGGTGACTATGTATCCACTTACCTAGTGCCTCGGCTGCACTATACGATTGAATCCCGTTCTCCGCGTCTCGACTGCTTCATTAACATCTGCCTGCCGCGCCGTGTTTCACGGGCCCACGACTTATGTACCCGATTGAAAATTCTGCACGCACACAAGTGCATCCATTGCTTGCCGGTTGCCGGTTGCCGGCGGGTGACGCACCCGCGCCCTAAGCGGATTTACACTCTAACGACCAGCCTGAGGACGTGACATTCTTAAATGTAAATAACGATCAATTTAAGAACAGATACACCTTTTTCTTAATAATAAAATTTCAGTCTTAATATTTTTCATCCATCTCCAAGTATAATTAAATGTTTTTTAAAAACATTCCAAGCTCCCCATACTATTATCCGATAAATAATGTCACCGAAAGACGTAAGTTCGCGCGAAATGGAGTTTAAATGACTGATTGTTCTTTGTGTTTATTTATCGCTCCAGTGCTTCAGATAATACATAGAGACAGACTCAACGACAGGCTACTTAAGTCATGAGTTATCAGCCACTTTTCTTGTTAGTGTTCCCTGTAACAATCTCACCGACCTTATATCTGATTTAAAGAGAAATATAAATATGTAAATAACAAGACTCGACCCATTAATATAAAATTCAATTTTCTCCGTTCGTACTTGACTTAGTTCATGCGTTGAAATCTATTGGATGGTTACTATGTGTCTCCTAAGTTAGTTGTAAGCATCATTGTTAATGGATAGATCTATGAAGGGAAGCAAGTTTAGGGGGAGTGAATATGCGTAGGCGCGAGGTTCGAAGCAGGCGCAGATCGCATCCCCGCTAAATATAGCTTATCGTTGACTTACTATGTTAATGACCGCGACAAACTCTGCACCAGCTGCAGCGAACATATAATCTGACGTCTCTTTCAACCGGTACTCGTTGCAAGTTTACTTGAACTTACGTTCAAGTTTGGCTAGTACAACACAAAATCCATATAGAACCGCTCCGCCCGCGTTTAGATGACCAAAAACTAAATTCTTAGGTTTTACATATTAGTATACTCTTACAACGCAGTTTTTGTATTTTTTCTCAGAAATGAGATATTTTCCCGCGGTAAAAAGTATCCTATATGTTGACACAGATAACCAGCTATCACCATACTAAATTTTATCAAAATCTGTCCAGTGGTTTTCTCGTGATGCGGTAACAGACAGACAGACAAAAATTTTAAAAACTATAGATTCGGACTCTGTATCGATAATAATGTCTATTTCAATTAGATTTTCCAAAAAATTTAATGTACAGATTCGACTTACTTACAATTTTATTATATGTATAGATTATATTTAAAATCGCATAAAAAACACAATAGCGTTCACACGTATTTTTAAGGAGCCGTTTCAATTCATTCATACCTTGTCAAAGTCTTTAGTTCTGTGAACTTAAGTAGGGATATGGTAAGCATCATAAGATCGTCTTAAGTCTAAATATAGATCATTTCAAGGATAAACGCGTTCTGTTTGAAACTGTAACATAAACACAACACTAACCACATAACTTAAAGAATGTTCACCCATAATTAAATAGACATTACGTAAAATAACGGTTAAGATAGGTTTTTCAACTATCATGAATTACAGATTTTCATGCTTGTTTTAAAGGAAATTGTAATTTTTTAATTATATTTTAGTCGAGACATTATAATATTTGGGTTGTACTTATCCATAATTTACACGAAAGTTGTGAAATTTAATACAGATACTACAAACGTAATAAAAAGTTTCTACTGTTCTCTATGTAAATATTTAATATATAATCCAGCGGCGAGTTTCATCGACATCCAGCGTACAAGGGTTCTTTATTTGATAGCGCTATTAATTTAATGACATGTAACAGTTATAAAATGAAATCCAAACCTATTACAGCGTTCGGCATAGACGCGGATGCTTTAGTACCGCCGCTTCTCTTTATGTTTTAAAACAAAATGAAGGGAACGGACAGATGAATAACATACCATTATATTCAATTAGGTCAAGTCAGTGTCAGAAACGTCTTCTGAGAACAATCTGATGTACCTACTCACGCCCTTATATACGAGTGGCTTTCTTTTTCCGAGTGTGTTTAATCACACGTGAATACAAGCCGCGGATAGATCTTAACTGTTCTTATTCTACTTGCCTAATTGTGACTGAATCGATAAAATCTATATATATAAAATAAAATTGTAACTAAGCCGAATCATTACATTAAATATTTTTTGGAAAATCTAATTGAAATAGGACATTATTATCGATACAGAGTCCGAATCTATAGTATTTAGAATTTTTGTCTGTCTGTCTGTGTGTCTGTCTGTCTGTCTGTCTGTCTGTTACCGCATCACGAGAAAACCACCGGACAAATTTTGATAAAATTCGGTATGATGATAGCTGGTTATCCGCGTCAATATATAGGATACTTTTTACAGCGGGAAAATATCTTATTTCTGAGAAAAAATACAAAAACTGTATTATAAGAGTATACTAATATGTAAAACCTAAGAATTTGGTTTTTGGTCTTATGAACGCGGGCGGAGCCGCGGGCAATGCTAGTAATATATTAACGTTTTTCTTAGCGCACTACTAGCATAAAAATATGAAATGTATTATATTATATTTTTGTGGATTGATTCTGCTATCATAATCTTATCGTAGATTCCATCACGCTGTCATCAGCATCAGTCTTATTACTATGAGAGTGCGTGTTAATTGCTCACATCCTTTTCTTTGTTGGTGTATGAATTTAATGTCTAAAAATAACTTCTGCCCTTCGAAAGCTGCAATCGAGCTCCATGGTTTAAAGTGCAGTATTGTGCATTTTAATAGGCAACGAAGCAACATAAGATGAGAGAGATGAATTTGTTTATTACCCTCTTCCTTATTGAGAGCGTCTGTACGAGATAGCTCTCTTCCTATGACTCAATAGAAAGTAATGCTCTTGAACTAACTCGATTTGAGTAACTCGCTAAGTTGTTCCTTAGTATTGGCGAGTGGGTGGACTTGCCTCTGCAATTCTATGGTGGTTTACTCGTTGCTTGCTACGCGCAAGCTGTTCTGATACCATTTCCGCGTAATTTTAGAATAATTGAACATGGTAGTAGTTTAGAAAGGAAGAGGTGATCGCTATCGCTATCTTGAGAGGTCATCCATTAACAAATTACTTTGCTTCAGTGTAGATTCATACAGCGTTTGCTGTTTTTTTTAATATTTGAAATTTGAAATTGTACGATTTAAAATGTAGTTATACATATCAAATAACTGTAACATAATGGTGTTGTTTTGCGAAAACATCACATTTAGCTTTTTATTATTTATTGGTTTGTATAAACATAAGCAAGATTTTGATTTGTAAAACAATAGTGCGAACATTAAGTATGACTATAGGGCGTGCGTCACAGGCTTATTTTTGATACGTTGGTTTTCTACTGGCACAGATGAGTCAGTCAAGTTAGATATCGATATTGACTCATTAACGAGCAAAAGTAAGTAGTTTTGTCAACATAATATTGATTACTTTTTCAGTCATGACGTGTTTTCAGTAGAAGTTATAACGGGAATCGGGTAATACAGTCTGTACAGGACATGTGTCGTGACCATAAAATGAAATCCTTGATCGCGTAGCAGATGCTGGTGGCGGGTCACAACAGCCGACCGTCGCTCGTATATTGTTGGCAGAGTCAACGAACTTACGAAAATGCTTCATCGCTTATTGTGCCCATAATCGATTCAGTTCACTCTATATGGAGTATAAAGATTTTGCATTTTCTTAATACTTTTTTGATAGCAAATTTTCAGGTATTATTTATATAGCAAATATTGTTGTAATTCTTAATAGTCATTTGTCATTCAGGTTGCGTGCAAAACGCACTTATTTATCAACATTAAACATATCTAGACCATTATTACTCCATACAAATTTCTATATTACAATCATCTATCTATACCAGATTGCTAAGTAAATTGAATTGGAAAACCCCGTGACTCGATGTTCGCATGAAGAAGGGGTGTGGTTGCGTTGCGACGGGCAGGGTTGGGAGGGCGCGGTGGCGTGGGCCAGGGGATGAGGGTTGCGAGTGCTCCTGTGCTGTCTGGCGGGGCGGCGGGGAGCGCGGGGGTGGGGGCGAGCCGGCGCGGGGGAACTCGAGCCAGATCAATACGCGTCCCCGGCCCCCGGTCCTCGCGGCCAATCTCCGCAGGCCCCAAGTCTTTCGACGCCGATGCTTATTTTTTTATAGCATCCATTAAGTATACTCGTCGACAAGAATGTATAGAAGCATGTGTTAGAATTTTATATTCTTTCGGTCTAGCAGTTTCCTCTTGATTATGTTGGCACGTATTCAACATTTTAAATAATCAGAAATATTAAGTATGTTGTTTAGGTATATCTCAATATATAAGATATGTTTATCTTGAATTCAGGAAATATATATTAAAACTTTTTAAAAAGTGAAATTTGGAATATTTTTAATATACTTTATTAGTATAAAGTAGTATAACTAATACGTATATATATATATATATATATATATATATATATATATATATATATATATATATATATATGTATGTAGGTTATTAAATGTAAGATCTCATAAATTTCTAAGCACATCAGTGGATAGATAAAATTGACATCTCATAAATATGGAAAAGTAATAGTAACGAGGTTCGATTATGAATTGTTAAATTATTTTACAAAATCCCACTC